CGGCACCGCCCAGCTTCACTTTCAGCTGCCTCGCATCTGTGGTAATTACTACCCTGGTTAGAGAGTACTCGGAGAGTACAGCTGAGAGTGCTGCGGGCGCCATTCACTTTCGCCAAGGCAGCCTCATCAGCATCAGCATCTCCGTAGAGCCGCGTAGAACACTTGACTACGTAATCTGAGTGTGTGGCTGCCACTTCCACCCAAACGGAAATGCACACGCATCGGTGCACTGCAGCAATCCAAACCAAAACCAGACAGACAGACAAACAGACAAACAGACACCGTCAGAGTCTGTGGCAGGTGCACTTGGAGTGCATTAGTTTGTTAGTTGCTTTGCCGTTTGTTTGTGTTGCATAATGCGGCCACATTTGGGCGCCTCTGCGCTGCGGCTCATTTGCATGCCGGTTTTTTCTGTCTGCCTTTTTTTTGGCAATTAAAAATACACAGCGTCCGTGTCGAAATCAGCAGCAAAGCCACCGCTTTGTTCTCTCTGGCCTCTGCTCTCATAAGCCCCCAGAAATAAGCTGCAACCACTGCAAGACGAACAGCCGATTAGGTTTGATTGTCTGCGAGGGTTTCTTACGTGCACTTGTCGAGCAGCAAAGAAGGAAACCAAACCAGTGGTGACCGTGCACTTACCCAAACAGATGAAGCTAATGAGTGTGCGTTTTTAAAGCAAACAAATCAAAGGGAGAAACACCCAAAGAGGCGGGCCACTGCTAGCTGGAGATCATAATATAATAATATCTAAATTATAAGTCTAGCGAGTGGAAACCACAATCATTATCTTTGATTTGTGGCAACGGAAGGGAACAGCCCACAAATGGCAGTTGAAACGCGATCTGTGTGGGCATCAGAGAGGTCTACATTTCCACTCTATTTAGCTGCCTTCACTCTAGACTCTAGAGAGACTCCAACAAGTGCCAAGCAGACAAACAGACACATGATATAGTTCAAGGGTGAAACTCACTTCGGGGCATAATAAATGTAGGAAATATTCTTTGAAAATCTTCAGACACAATCCGTTGGCAGTTGATTTAGTGACGAAGATTCACTGCAGCCCGAGAATCGGGCACAATTTCCGCTTTTTGAATGGCTGACAATGGCTGTGACTCTGACGCTGAATGGTGGAGAATCCAACAGAGAATGCTGACGTGCTGCGTGTGTGGATAGTCATATGTGAGCATTGGCATTGTCATTAGGCTAATTCCCGCCAATTATGAGTAATAGCAGCAGCCACAGAAACAGCAGCAGTGACGGTAGCGAGTATTCTTGACCCAGTTTGACTCGGAATTAGCTTACATTTTTGGCTCTAACTCAAGCTTGAGACTCTCCAACTCTCTGACCCGAAATACTCGCACTACTTGCAGATTATGGAGCTAAGCAACTTTTCGAACAGCAAGAAGATGTCACGCGAGGAGCGACGCTACTCTGTGCCCCATGGACCCAATACACCGCTGCCGCCAGCGGCATCCGAAGATCTGCATGCCTGGTCCATCTACAGGTGAGTGTGTGTGTGTGTGTGTGTGTGTGTGTGTGTGTGTGTGTGTGTGTGCGGAGAAGGGAGGGGCTGCTGGGTGCAGTTGTCTTCACTGTTCAATGGCGCTGCACCTGTTGGGCACTTTTTTGACGCTTGATTTAACCGCAACGGAAGGCGGAAGTACCAAATGCCATAAATGCCGAGCTAATTGAACGTCAGAGGCACAGGCACAGCCACAGCCACAGCAGTGACCAAGCCCCCCAATCATGTCCAACTGACCGCAACAGCCAATAGCCAACAGCAACCGAATGCAACTCCCTTTACAATATTTTCTTTTATTCTTCATCCATTCCCTTAGGCAAAATCTGAACTCTGACTTCACCGATTCAGCGCTGGGATCGTCAGACAAATCACCGCTGCCATATGGAAATTTCCAGCTACGCGATACCACAGTTCAATCAATCCTGAATCATCCGCGCTACGGTCCCAAGTGAGTAACTAGCCAGACACTGTTTGCCATTGCTCGTACCAATTATAATCAGCCCATTCCATCATCCATCAGTCGGTAAATACTTTTGAAAGATGAGCTCAGGATGGGGGTATTTTATTTGTCAGAGATGGGCCCTGAAATTCATTCGACTCCACCCCCCCATTGCAGGTCTCCCTTGGGCTCCAACATGTACACATACTTGAAGTTTGGACTGCCACGCGTCTTTCCACCGAATGCCGGATCACAGCGCTCGCATCGGCCGGGACCGGGACCGGGCCCGGGTCCTGGACCCGGACCTGGCGGCTCCAGTGCACTGGGCGGCGTCAGGGGCCGCGTGAATCGTGGCTTTAGGGACAGTTCGGGCGCACCGGCGGGTGCCGGCTCCAGTGGCTACGACAGCAGCGACAACGAGACGACGCGCAGTCGGGTGCCACCGAATCTACGGAAGTACCGCAGCGAGTCGGACTTCCGTGCCATTGGCGGCATGCCGCACTCGCGTCCCGAGTCGCGAGCCCATGGCGGCGGCGGAGGCGGCGGTGTACCGGCGGCTGCACTGCGTCAGGCCAATAGCAGGGCCAGCATAGCAGTGGGCCAGCATCATCACCACCAGCAGCAGCACCAGCAGCTGCATCAGCAGCACCAACAGCAGCAGCAGCAGCAGCAGTACATGACCAATGGCAAGCACTACGGCCATCGGTCGCACAGCGAGGCCGATCTGCTGGGCGCCCAGGGAGGGATGATGGGCGCAGACGGCGGCCTGGGCATGGGCCTGGGCTATGACTACAACGAGTCGCGGATCTACGCCAGTTCGCGGCATCCGCAGCAGTACGTGCACAGTCGCAAGCAGTCGGGCATGGGCCTCATCTATCCGAACATCCAGGTGCACTGCCTCGACGTGAATCCCTGCCTGCGCGGCGTCTCCATGCAGGCGAAGGCCGGCGATCTGTTCGCCATTATGGCCACGTCACAGCGCGAGGGCAGCGCCCTGGCCGAGTGCCTGGCCGGTCTGAGCGAGCGCCTGGGCGGTGAGATCCTGATCAACGGGCAGCAGGTGAATCGACATGGCCTGCGCGAGCTGTGCAGCTATGTGCCGGCCTTGGAGGTGTCCTCCCTCGATCCGCGCATGAGTGTCCAGTGCACGCTGAACTTCCATGCGGCGCTGCGCGGCCCCATCGATCGCAGCGACCTAAAGGAGCGCATGGATGTGCTCATTGAGGATCTGGGCCTGAACACGGTGCGCGCCTCGAATGTCTCCTCGCTGACGCACTCGGAGAAGCAGCGCCTGAGCGTGGCGTGCCAGCTGCTGGCGCAGTCCTCTCTGCTGATACTCGACCAGGTCACCAGCAACATGGACATCTTCGACACGTTCTTCCTGGTCGAGTATCTGCGGCAGTGGTGCAGCGGCGGACGCATTGTCATCATGACGCTGCAGCCGCCCACCTTCGAGATACTGTCCATGTGCTCCGGTGTCCTGCTGCTGTCCGGCGGACGCACCGTCTTCTCGGGCAGTCGGGCCGACCTGCCACGCCACATGGGCGAGCTGGGCTATCCGTGTCCGCCGTTCAAGAACCCAGCCGATTACTACTGTAAGTGGAATGCACTCTCTCTCGCTCGGGCTTCAACGTTTTGTCATTTCAGTGGATTTGGTGACCCTAGATGACCTGTCGGCGGCAGCGATGCTGGAGTCCTCGGCACGCATCGAATCGCTGGCCAATGCCTGGGATCAGATCAACTCGGAGCCCCCGCTGGCCGCCCCACCCGCCTCCCTGCCCAACTTCACCATGAAGGCGGGCTTCTTCGGGCAGATGAAGGCGCTGATCAAGCGGTTTGCGGGCTACAAGCAGCCGGGATCGCTGCTCACGTGGATCAGCAAGCTGATTGCCGCCGCCGTGCTGTCCCTGTGCATCGGCTGCATCTTCTGGGATGTGCCTGCCTCGGACCCACAGCTGACCTACAACGATCGCCTGGGCTACCATCACTGTGTCATGGTGCTGGTCTACTGGCCGCTGGTCATGCTCACCATACGGGACACGCAGGAGGATCGACGGCATGCGGAGCGAGACATTCGACTGGGCCTGTACTCGCGCAGTCTCTACATCGTGGTGCAGGTGAATATCTCCACCGATTCGAGGGGAACACTAATGCAGCATTCATTCTGATTCTCTTGGGCGAACAGAGTCTGCTGGGACTGTTTCCCAGCCTGTGCATCTGGCTGGCATATCTGCTGCCGGCACACAGCATGGCCGGGCTCTACACCTATTCGAACAGCAGCGACACAGGGATCTACCTGTACATGGGTAAGATGTGTCCCCAAACACTGGCATTTCCCCTGCTAAACTTTACTTTTGCTTTCTGCAGGCTACATGCTGCTCTACTTGACGCTCGTCCAGACCCTGGCCCTGTTCTGTGCGCATCTGTTGCCGTGCAAGGTGTCGGCGAGCATTGTCAATGGCCTGATCAGCCTGGTGCTGGCCTCGGTGGGTGGCTATCTGGTGCATCCGCAGAATCTGTCCACGTTCTGGTCCTGGCTGCAGCTGGTGTCCCCGGAGCGTTGGCTGCTGCCCGTTCTGGTGCAGGATGAGTACAGTGCCGAGACGCTGGCCAATTCGGCCGGCCTGCAGCTGTGCCGCAATAAACAGGTGGGTCCCACACAAATAATTACAATACAGAAAGGGATACTCATGTGCCTTGGGTTTCGCATCACAACAGGTTCAGCATCAGGAGATTATTGTGCAGCAGCCCTGCCCGCCGCCCAACGGCACCCAAGTGCTAGTCGACTTTGAACTGCTGCCGCAGCAGCATGTGCTCGATCCCACGCTCAGCTACGATCAGACCACATCCGTGGCTCTCGTCCTGGCCTCAGTGCTCATCTTTTGTTTCACCTTCATCGTCTTTTTGTGCAATTGTCGAAGCGCCTGTCGCAAGCAACGCAGTCGGTAGGGCCCAGACTGGTCATGCAGATTTGCATCTGGATTGGCTTCGAACTGTACATTCAATAGCAACTAATTCTTGAATAAATATAGTGTTTAGTCGAGGCAGCGTTCGTTTAACTAACTAAAGGTTAAATCTATTCTTTTATTGGGCATGGAATGTGGGCAAGAGGCAGTTGGATTGGAGACAGAGTTGTGGAGAGAGCGAGTTACAGTCGGTAACTGGTAATGTTTAGGGGGGGGCCCATTAATGATGGAACAGACGCAGATTGGTGTGGGCCATGATGATGCCATGCTCATCGCAGGCTGCTATGACGCCAGCATCATTGGTAGAGCCCGCAGGACTGGCAATGTACGACACACCGCTCTGCGGAAACATATAATTAATTTGTGTGTTTAAGGACAGGTCAAAGCACTGCCAACAGCTTTATAGCTTACCAGGCTGGCGCGATCGATGTTGTCGCGGAAGGGGAAGAAGGCATCGGAGCCGAGGGCCACGCCACTCAGCTGCTTCAGCCACTCCACTTTCTGCTGAGCCGTCAACTGCTGCGGCGCCTTGTCGAACCTGTTGATTGTTGATGCGACGCTTTAGCGATCGACTCTCTTTTGGTAAGAATTATACACTCACATGCTCTCGAACTGGGTCAGGGGCATGTCCTTGCCAACAGTGCCATTCACGTAGTTGTCGATGGCATTGGATATCTCGGCGCGCTTCACGCCAGCCTTGAACTTCATGCCGGCCACACTGGGATGCTGACGCAGCCACCAGTTGTCGGCCTTCTCGCCGGCCAGCCGAGTGCAGTGGATTCTTGACTGCTGGCCGGCACCGATGCCAATGACCTGGCCATCGCGGGCATAGCAAACGGAGTTGCTCTGCGTGTACTTCAACGCAATGGTGGCCACAATGAGGTCCCGCACAGCTGCCTCTGGCAGGGGACTCAGCTTGCTCACGACCTTGGCGAAGAGCGAGGCATCGATGACGGCATCGTTGCGCTTCTGCTCCAGCGTCAGGCCAAAGATGGTTTTGCGCTCCACGGCGGTTGGCTCGTAGCCGGGATCCATCTGAAAGGAGTTGTGCCATCAGATTGGGAGCTCACTTTAGGTTTATTTTACCCACCTGCAGAATGCAGTAGCTGCCATTCTTCTTCTTCTTGAGGATTTCCAGAGCGGCCGGCTCGTAGCCAGCGGCAATGATGCCATCGGATACCTCGCGGGAAATGATTTTGGCGGTGACCACATCGCAGACATCGGACAGCGCCACAAAGTCGCCGAACGAGCTCATACGATCGGCACCACGTGCCCTGGCATAGGCCGTAGCCAGCGGAGTCAGCTGCTCGTACAGATCGTCCACCATGCAGAGCTTAGCCTGGGCAGGACTGAGCGACACACCCACAGCGGCACCGGCGGGCGACACATGCTTGAAGCTGGTGGCTGCCGGCAGCTTTAGTGCCTGTTTCAGCTCCTTGACCAACTGCCAGCCATTGAGCGCGTCGCAGAGATTGATGAACCCCGGCGAGGCATTGAGCACACGCAATGGCAACTGCGCCAGCTGGGTGTACAGCTGGGCCGGCTTCTGGTGCGGATTCATGCCGTAGCGCAGCTGCAGCTGGGACACACCCGATCCGTATTGCTTCCTGAAGTAGTCCGAGATGGCATCGTCGTAGCTGGCTGTGTGCGTGAAGGCCTTGAGGGCCAGCGACTGGCGCGTCTCCAGCGTGGTGTCGCCCTTGGCGCTGATCTCGGCCAGAATCCGCTCGTAGTCGACAGCCTCACAGACGACAGTCACGCGCTGATGGTTCTTGGCCGCCGCCCGCAGCAGAGTGACGCCGCCAATGTCGATGTTCTCCACAGCATCGGCGAGCGTAACATCGGGCTTGGCTATGGTGCTGGCAAACGGATACAGATTGCACACCACCAGCTGGACCAGACCGTAGCCCTGCTTGGACATGTCGGCGAGATCGCTGTCGGTCGTGCGCGACAGGATGCCAGCATGAACAGCAGGATGCAGCGTCTTCACACGTCCGCCGAGCATCTCGGGTGCCCCAGTGATGTCGGACACATCCTTGACCTTGAGGCCGGCAGCACGCAGGGCTGTGGCCGTGCCTCCACTGGCCACCAGGTCAAAGCCCAGCGCCACAAGCCGCTTGCCCAAGTCGAGCAGACCCGTCTTGTCCGAAACGCTAAGAAGAGCTAGGGATGGGATGGATAAACGTGTGTTAGTTGGGGGCGGGACACTCACATAGACCCTTTGTGGGACTCACCAATCTTGCTGGAGCTCATGGTTCTGTTTGTAGTTTTCTAGGCGTTGCTGCGTCCGATCCACAAGGCGTCTGAAATGCAAATGAAAGGCGAAACGAGTTCAGTGGAAGACGTAGCGTAGGCTGCGATTGGGATTTCGGATTTGGTATTTGGGATTGCACAAACATGTTTTCGCTTTTTCGCCTAGGCAACGACCTCCGGCTGTGGGCTGTGGGCTGCGGTTTGTCGCTGATAGCAGCCCCCCCCCCCAGGCCTGTAGGGTTATCGAATTCGAACCCAATCCGCTTGCATCAGCAGATCAGTGCAACAGGAAAAACCAAAAACAAATCTCTCAAATGGTACGTAGACGCCTTTATTGCCATGCCGTGTCTCTGGGGGTCTCGGGTTTCGGGTTTCGTTTCGTTTACAATTCCTTATCAGCAGCCATCGACTGCTCCCTCTCCGTTACCCGCTCCCTCTCCTTTCGGCGCTGTGCCTCCCGCCTACGCTTGTGCTTGTTGGACCTCAAATGCAGGCCCCACTGATACTCGCCGACAAAGTGCCGCTCGCAGGTGGCACAAAAGTTGCTCGTCTCCTCGTTGAGATCTGCGCCGGGATGCACCCGCTTGGCCATTGGCTCAATCTCGCAGAGCTGCTCGCTACGATAGCTGTCCACTATGGACTCGGCGCGCTGGTACACCGTCGCTGGCCAGGCGCTGACATCGCTGGTGTCCAGCTCGTACAGATCGGGCACCTGGCGATCCTTGCTGCCCAGAAACCGATTGTTGATCCACTTGATTTGCTTCTTGGAGTAGCGACGCGTCACCAGCTTGAGCTCATCGCAGCAGTCACGCAGCAGATCGATGCCATCGGGCAGACCCTCCGCCTTGAGCTCCTCTTTGCTGGGCAGTCTGTAGCCATGCGTCTTCAGATACTCTTCAATCTGCTCATCCTGCTGCTCGCTGTGCTTGATCAGGTAGGGCACAAACTCCTTGTAGCCGATGGTTTGCAGCACCCCCGAGGTGTAGGCCTGCACAGTGACGTCCTTGTACGCGTCATGAAAGCGGCGCAGCTCCCTGAGCAGACCTTGCTCCAGCATGCCATCCACCCGGCCATCGAGCCGGGCATTGAGCACGTCCTGTTGGCATCGCAGCCACAAAAGGATCGTGTGGGGATAGCGCAGGGGCCCGCCCAGACGATTTCCTCCTGGCCGTTGACGCTGCTCCGCCAGCTTTTCCGTCAGGGTCTGTCCGGTGCCCTGGTACACTTCAATGGCGCGCAGAATCTTGCGTCTGTTGTTGGGATGGATGCGATTGGCGCTGCACGCATCGATGCTGGCCAGATGCTGATGCAGCTCGGCAGTTGTCATCGCGGCCAACGCGTCATCAGCCAACTGGTCCGCCGATGGGCTGTTGCGGTTGCCCTCCTCCCCCGTGTCGACCAATATATCCCACAGCAGGGACTCAATGTAATAATTGGTGCCGCCCACGACAATGGGAGGCGTGGACTTGGCCAGCAGCCGCTCGATGATCGGCAGGGCGGCATTGCGGAAATGGGTCACTGTGAAGGGCTCGGCCGGTGTCGCCACATCCAGCAGATGATGCCTCGCACGTGCCTGCTCCTCCTTGGTTGCCTTGGCCGTGGCAATGTCCAGGTTCGTGTAGACCTGCATTGAATCGGCGCTGATTATCTCGCCCCCGAAGCGCTCGGCCAGTTCCAGAGATAGCTTCGTCTTCCCAGTGCCAGTCGAACCGAGTATCACAATTAGAGGCACTTTGCGCATCATCTTTCCAACCAATTGAAAGTAAACAGAGGCCAGACACACGTTTTGCGGCACGTGTGGCACTCACGAATCTTAACCACCTGTTGATTCCTCCGATTTTTAGTATTTTTACAGCCAATAAATGTTTGGTCCAACTTGCTTATTGATAATGGAGTTTAGTCCTAATATTGAATCTTAATTTAGCCCATAAATTGTTTAAAAACTTACAAAAACCGCGAAATATTGTAATTACGTTGTCAAAGAGATAGGATGCTATCGATACTATCGATAGGCAGTAGTGCTGGCCTTCAGTGTAGCCCGTGTAGCAGTGTAGTTGCCGGCAACTTGATTTTTATAAAGTTCAGAGTTTGTTTTCCCATCGAAGCGGTTGGTTCTTTCGAATTTATACAATTGCCTACTTCTCCAGTTAAGAAGTAATTAAATATTAACTAAAAGATGGCTAGCGACAAGTATTTGACCTTTAACAATGGTTTAAAAATGCCTCTAATTGGCGTAGGCACATGGCAGGTAATTTATATTAAAAAATATATAATTAACTGATAACTTTTAATTGTTCTTATAAATAATTAACGACGAAGAAAAACCCGACACGTCACCCACCTGTCTTTTCGACAATATCAAGTCGTGATGCACTCCCTCCCCCAGGGGTTCACATAGAATCTCTTAGTGCTTTGTGCTTAATGATGCAGACCGGTTTCTCGTGCACAATGGCGCAGTCAGAATCGACTTTCTCTGAACACCTGAAGAGTAAACCAAACAAAAGGCCCAAATGGGCAAACACTACTTGGAACATTCTAGAGCGTCCACAGATTAAATCTTATCGTTAAAACCGCTAACCACAATTTAATCACGCTTGGTTCGCAGGCATCCGACGAAGAAATCGAGACGGCCATTGATGCTGCTTTGGAGGCAGGCTATCGCCACATCGACACGGCGCCAGTTTATGGCAACGAACCGGCCATTGGGCGGGTTCTCAAGCGCTGGCTGGATGCTGGCAAAGTCAAGCGTGAGGAGCTGTTCATTGTGACCAAGCTGCCCCCCATTTGTGAGCATTTATAATACAATGAGTCCACATTTAGATATTTCAATAGACGCTTTCTTTGATAGCCAATCGTCCGCACGAAGTGCTGCCAACCATTAAAAAGTCGCTGGCCGACTTGCAGCTGGACTATGTGGACCTGTACCTTATTCATACGCCCTTCACGCTGATCATAAACGAGGATGGCAGCTTCAAGGTCGATGCAGAGGGTCTGGTTGAAGTGGATCCGACCACAAATCATGCTGCCACCTGGGTGGAAATGGAAAAGCTGGTCGAGCAGGGCCTGGCCAAATCCATTGGAGTCTCGAACTTCAGCAAGGATCAGGTGGCGCGTCTGCTGAAGAACTGCAAGATTCGGCCAGCCAACAATCAGATCGAGCACCATGTGTACTTGCAGCAGCGTGACCTGGTGGACTACTGCAAGGCCGAGAACGTTGCCATTACAGCATACTCCCCCTTGGGCTCCAAGGGCATCGCCGCCTTCAATGCGGGCGCTGGAATTGTACGCGATTTGCCCGACCTCATGGACATACCCGAGGTCAAGGAGATTGCCGCTGCACATGGCAAGAGTCCGGCTCAGGTTCTCTTGCGCTGGATCATCGACACCGGGCTGTGTGCCATTCCCAAGAGCACAAATCCAGCTCGCTTGAAGCAGAATCTGGATGTATTTGACTTTAAGTTGACTGAACAGGAGGTGGCCAAGCTGCTGGCCCTGGACAAGAACATTCGCGTGTGTGACTTTGCCTTTTTCCATGGGTAAGTGAAAAGAAAATGTTTGCATGGCGTGAAGATTTTATTCTGTATTTCCCTTTTCAGTGTGGAGAGGCATCCGGAATTCACGTTCAAGAACCAGTACACCAACTAAAGAAACTCTAACGAATGCTCTACACATGCACCATGCACCATATACATACATACATATTCTATTTTATATATTTCCCCTCTCACTGTTACCGTTGCTGCATAAATAAAAGCACACACAAATATGTCTGCTGTCCTCAACTGGTTTTCTTTGGCGCCGGCAGCAGCTGAAACGTTTTGGTTATAATTTTCAGCTCAACAGGTTTTCCAACAGCCACCACAGACGCTGGCTGTGGCATGGCTGGTTTTTCCTCCTTTATAATCGTTCGTATAGGGTTCGTTTCGATTGAGCTGGGGGGTAAAAACTGTGAGATTAGATGGGGCTTGGTAATGGCTGCATTGTTAGTACACATTGGAGTTTATTTTTGCAACAAATTTTTTTGTTTTAAGCTTAAACAAATCACACGACTCACAGCAAGCAATTAGTAGCGAGCAAAAAATCGATACATAAACAGCTAAGGAAATAGTTACAAGGCGCTTCTTACTATATATACAGAAAGAATTCGATTCGAGGTACACATTTGTATGTAACATTAATAAGTTAGGTGCTTAAATGGTAAGGGGGCTGTTCAGACGGAATCAAATACTTTTAATTACGAAGTACGAATACGTAACGAAAATTAAGGAAATAATTGAAAAAGCAGAGGAATAAAACTGTGCACATCCTGAGGGGTATGGTATGATGGATATATCATATTGGGCCAATCTCAATTTGATTGTCAAGCCTTTGGCCACAGCGCTTTTGTTAGTTGTTGCAGTTCGAGTATTAAAATGAAATTCGTCGTAGTTCGTAGTTGCTGTCCCATGCCAACTCACGTGGTCTTCGTTTCCTCCTCTGAGCTGCGCCTAAAATACAGCAGTAGAAACATTAAAACATTAGTCCAGAGAAAATCAATTTTTTGTTGGTTGTCCAAGCACACGCAAGCAAAACGAATAGAGAGATATTCACACTCACTTATATCCTTGCGCCGCACAATATTCACAAAGTTCAATTTTTTCATGCAATAAACAATAAGTCAAAAAGTACCTGGGTGCATCCTGATTCGAGCGCATGGCCAGGGCGGCCACCTCAAAGATGCCAATGAAGAAGCACAACATGAGGGGGCCCAAGATGGCCCCCTGCCAGCCGATCCAGTACATGCCGCCTGCTATGGCCAGACCATTGAGATACGGGTGTCCACCGCTGCCATAAATAAATCAGAATAAAAATAAACATCTCCGTTTTTGCGCTGCACACTCACCCCTTTAGATCGGCATAGATGGCCGTCTCGAATGTGGAGGGCACAAAGAACTGCAGCAGGAACAATATTAAGCCCGCATAGAAGCGGTCCTGAGCCAGCCAAAGTTCCAGGAACGCGGGCACGGCACACCAGTAGCTGCCCAGGAATGGGGCCGCTGCCAGAATGGCTGCCAACGCAGAGGGCAAAAACACAATTCTCGCCCCAAACACCGTGTGGACCAGCCACGTGAACAGACCCGTGAATATGGAACACTTGAACATTGAGAGTAGAACGACAGTGATGGAGTTCTCCATGCCATCGACGATCTTAGTGCCAGAGGTGGAGTAGCCAAGGTATTTTGTTATCTGAAGTGGCGCATACTTGTCCTTGCTGCTCGACAGCAAGTAGAACAAAGCGGTGAAGAATACAATCTGCGGGCAAGACAGCAAAAATCATTAAATATGTCTTCAGTTGTATTAAATAAATACTCTGTTTGCTAACCATATCGAGAATAAACTCGATGCAGGCTTGGCCTCCAGACAGCACCAGCGACAGAATCTCGCCAGTCACACCCATAATCATCGATAGATTCGTGCGAATGATGTGCCACAGGGACTCGGCCACCTCCAGGATCGTTTGCGTGTTGCTCTGCGCCCAGCCGATGATGCCCTGTTTCGCCACTAAAACTAGCTCTTTAAAATGTCCTTTTGTTAAATAAATGTCCGTAGGTTAGCGGATGGAACATAGAATGAGTTGTTATTTCATAGAGACGCAGACGAACGTTACGGAAAGGGTTAGGATGCAGCAAAAGAGAACAAAACAAAACAAAACAAACCCAATAACCACGCAAAGTCCCAGGATAAAATAATAATTTATCTGTTAATTTGTTACGTGGAAAAAATAAAGAAAGGAAAAACGGGAGAGAGGAGTGGGTAGTGGGGTTAAAGTCGCTTACCTGGATTATCAACAATCTCGCCAAAAGTACTCTTCAGCGCATCCGTGGGCACTCGCGGGCCGTACGACGAGCCCTTATTGTTGAAGTCCACCCAATACTGGATGAGTCTGTCCCACACGTCGAGTATCTGCTCCTTGAGCTTGGTGGCGTGCACCTTATCGGCATCCGCCAGCCAATCGTCAATGTAGGTCTCGATCTTACGGCGACCATAATGGTGCGCATTGTCTAGCGCATCATCGATGGACGCCTGCATATTGGCCGGCAAAATATCAATTAGCTCAGGACGGTCTGTGATCGTCTTGTTAATTAGATCTTTTGTCAGGTAGGCCACCTCGATGGTCTCCGAATAAATGTTGACGCAAAAGAACACACTCAGTATGATAATGCAGAAGAGCATGGCAATGATCATGAGTATGGAGGTGACTGACTCGACAGAAGACTTCAACGAATCTCGCACAATCGTGTGGATCCTGTAGTTGAGTTCCAGAACCCCCGGCAGGCATAGCGGCAGTACAGCTGAATGATGTTCAATGGACCAGGCCTGAAGTCGTTCAATATTAGAGATTATTATTATTATTAAATGTATTTGGATAACTCACCCGCAATCCCAAGTACAATTCGTTGATCTTGCCACAGACAAAGTCGGTGATGCCCGTGTATGCTCCGAACTTGTATATCAGGTGCAGCAGCACCGGAACAGCTGCTAAGATGACCATCCAAATGTTTCGGTACAGCACATTGGCCAGGCAGGCGTAGAGGAGCAGCTTCAACATCGTACCGCTCTGATGGCCCTCAGACGTTTCAGTGGGCTTCACGTGGAAGGTATCCGTGGAGTCAACTGTGTCGCTGAGTGATATATCCTCCACATCCGACTGCAACACGTCCGCGGAGACCGGCCGATCGCTGCTCGTTTTGCCACAGAGACTGAAGTTGCTCAGCGATCGCTCAAAGTCGTTCTTGTCGAACAACATCTTCAGACGGTGCAGATAGGAGCCAGATCCCTCGCTGCCCTTCAGATGGTATGCCGTGGAGGCCGTCACGTAGGCCATCACCAGCAGGAAGACGGGCACTTGGAGGGCGCCCAGGAAGCTGCTCAAGTACCCGGCTATCGCTATCCACATGGACTGACCGGCGACCACAAAGTGAGTGCTGTTCTCTGGACTCCAGAAGAAGTGCACACAGCTAAGGTAGACCAGCACTAGGGCGATAATCTGGAATGTGGAAAGGTAAGCTGCAGCTGCTGTGGCAGAAATTTACAACTCGAACCCACCACAAAGACATTCAGGAACCCAATGATTCGCACGAAGAGACCATGCGAGAAGGTGAGCCAATGCCAGATGGCGTACAGGAAGCCCTTTGGCGCGTACAGGACCAACAGCTTGATGCAACTTGCCACACCGCAGCCAGCCAGCAGCAGTTGCCAGTGCTCGCACAGCCATCCAATCAGCAAGCGGCCGCAGTGCTCTGTCGCCTCCACGGGGGACAGAAAAATCGATACCAGCACATTGGAGTCGCGCTCCTCCAGCCGCTGGAACCAGCTGTGCACGCTCTCCGCCAGACTGCGCTTGAATGGAAAAAGTACGGCGCCCATGAGGAAGGCCCACAGCAGCGGACGCACAAAGGGTCCCAGGATGAAGCAGACAGCCACAAAGGCACACACGCCCAACAGGAACAGAAAGTTGTACATTGCCGCGCGAAAGCTCTCATGGTTCTGCGACCGTGTCCGGAACAGCTTGTTCATCACGCTGTCGAAGGAACGCTCTCGTCGAATCGGTATGGGCTCCGAGCGGTTCATTCAGAGGCCGTTTACAATCGGGAAGGAACTGTAAATTAATACGGTATTAATCCGTACAAGGCCGCTACTCAATGCCCATATGTGGGGGCCACGCCTGTTTGGCTATTTTTGGCGGAACTTACATTAATTTGACGTATTAGAGGAATCAACAACAGTTGATTCACATTGCAGGCTGTGTGGATGGGCTAACAGGCTGTGGCAGTTACCAATTTCGTGTGCTGGACGTGGATAACAGACATCGAAGTAGGTGGAATCCTACTAACGTTGCTGGACGGGGCAGGGGGAGTGCACATAAACAAAAATACGTTGTTGTTTCTGCCAAATTACGTCAGTTTCGAACACACCTAGAGATGTGACACATCATCATTGACCTATCGATAGTTAGTCTTAACACGATGTTTTTCTGCGATAGCACACATATTGAAAATAAATATTTATCGCTAGACTCTTTCGCTTTGCAGCACTACTCCGATTTCAAAACAAAAGAGACGCCATGGGTGAGAATCAATAAATTTCAACAATTAAACAAGTAATATATAATAAATACTTGCAGATCTATCCCTGCAACAAGTACTCAACTTGCGGAAAGCGCAAGAGACTTCGAATAGTAGCACCGCCTGTTACCTGGATCTGTATCGCAAAATCATCAAAAAGTTCTATACAACAGATCTCCGCAATTCGGTAGGTTTCCGCAACACTCACGATTGGGCCGTTGCTATGAATTACTTTTGCATTTTTAGTTAAACGGCGAGTGTAAGATGCTGGATGTTCAGCTCAATATACCCCAACTGGATGCAGATCCTGCGCAGCAGGAGGAATACACGCCCATGCCACCACAGGTACGAAAACTTTTAAATACACTAAACGACCCTCTATCTTTAATAAACATCATAATCAACAGCTTCAAAAATTGGAAGAGCTCTGCGACGCCACACTGGCGGGCTCGTCCCTGTTGTAAGCGTGCTCCGATCGATCCTTATCGCTATTCAGCCAGTATCGATGCAGGATTTGGTAAATATGCTGCAAGCACTCGAACGAGGGCGACTGGCTCTGCAACAACAAAACGGAAATATGACTAGCAGTATAAGGGGAATGGCAGCGCAAGACTCACATTGAACATTGGTATTATGGGTCGTTTCTTGAACATGCTGCCTCTGGTTCGCAAGATTAGCATGTACTTCACATCCAACTAAAATGGCAATCAATTATAATTAAATAAAGCCTAAAAAGGACTTGCTCACGTTTTCAATCACTTCATTGAGCACTATGTCATGAATGTGTCCGCGCTGCACACAAAATACGGACTCCCGGCCAAAGGATCGCACCGTCTCCGTTTGCAGGGCCATGTCCCAACTGTAGAACAATTTCTCAGTTTTAACCAGAGCCAAGGCGGTGCGAACAATTACAGTTGCAAGAGTCGTAACAATGAGAATGGGATACAGGATGCGTGGCTGCCAAAAGCTAGTGAGTTTGTCCCCGAGACACCAAACGCTGACGAAGTAGACGGTCGACACGGAGAGGAGCACCAGAAACCGGTGCAGCTGCCTTTGACACTGAGCCCCATGCTGGCGGTTCACCAGTTCTATTCGCACCACGTCCCCTCCGTAGTTTTTGATGTACACTTCCAGATCCTCTTGTGTAGAGCCGGCATATTTAGCACCCAGGCTGTAAAATCGCTTTCTCGTCAATTCCGGTTCCATGTATTATTGTTTGTTATTGTTTATATCCAGTATCGATACGATGTGTGTACTCGCTGCTCAACACTGTGCTCAGCCTATTCCCGACCATTATGAATTGGAAATTGATAGGGTAAAGAGCTTCGGAAAAACTATTAAAGGCAAATCTTAAAAAAACACGTATAGTTCTGTGTTGGAACATTATATTACAGAATTTAAACTGATGCATTACAGGTTTTGAATATTTTCCATTCGGCGATATTTCACATAAATATCGATGGTTATGTTGTTGCACACTGTTTGGACGAAAAACAATATGGCGTCTGCAGCGAACATTCACACACACATAGCACAAAAAAAATCGTCGTCGGGTCAGCCAAACGCTCGAGCGTCGGTTCCGCGGAAAATTGTAGAAATATCCAAAAGATAAATTGTTACAAAGCGCGTGGTAAATAATAAATATGCGCAAGCGTAAATTTGATCAAAGCTGAACGAATGCGAACAAGCGCAGACACCAAAAACAAAGGCAGAAACAACAAATTGCAGCGTGAGTGTAAAACTTTTTGGTAAAAGATTCAATATACCCCCTCGCGCCGCTCTCCTGCTCTTGTCCTCTTCTTGCGGCTTCTGTGTTGTCTGAGCGTGTCTCTGCCCATGTGTGTGTGTGTGTGTATTTTCGAGTGTGTGTACATGATTCGTTCTCTCACGTACTCCTCCGCGTATGATTGCCCGAAAGCAAATAATTGGAAAATATCCTGCCAAATTAAATCCCTACGCCAGTAGTCCGGCTTGTTGCTGTCTATGGTTTATTGCCAATTTGGAGGTAATTTCATTGCTATTATTTTGTCCAAATTTATGCAACAACGCAAACGTGTGTTGAGTTTCGCTCTGTTGAATTGAGGTGAGTTTTTCGTGCGCCAGTGTGCGCCTGTGGTGTGTACCCGATGTTTTTCTTACGTTTTCGTGTGCGTTTCAATTAAATAAAAAAATTGCGAATATCGGGACAACGGTATACATTTAAAATGCGCTGCGTCGTCAAGTCAAAACACAATCAGTTGACAAGAATTGCATGCGTCAGAAGATTTTGCGGGTGTGTTGATTTGGGGGAAGACGGCATTTTTTTTCTTCTTGTACCTCTCTTTCCTTCTTCGATGAAATACGCTGCAATGTTTGCGATTCTGTTTTGTGCCTGCCATTCGCAATAATTTCATTGAATGAACCGCAAAAGAGACGGCCAAAAAACCGATGTACTTGCTAGACGGTGCATGTGTGTGCGTGAGTGAGTGAGAGTTTGTGTGTGTATCGCATATGAAAATAAAGAAATTAAAAAAAGAATAAATGGAAAATTGCTGACATTGCATTTCGGGCCAGAATGGGAGTGCGGGCAGTATTTATTTGTGAATTTTCGAGTTCTGGCCACGACCCAATACCACCCCAAAATGTGCATACAGGAACAGACACGCACACACGCGCAGGAGCGCGCGCGTATTCTGCACACATTGCCATGCATGCAAAAACAAGATACGACGCGTTCGTAACTTCTTCCGTTAAACAGGCTCCTTCTCCCCATACTCTCCCCCCCTGCCCAGCCCTTTTCCGCACTGTGCCATTCATTGTGTGGAGCGAACTCGCCCAAAGCGGAACCGAAAGAAACGTACGCGTTCCCCCGAATTGTGTCCTGCATCCTTTCGTTTTTATGCTTGCCTTCTCTTCTCGTTTCCTTTCCTTGCTTTCTTCGAAACGCATACACAGCCAACTGCAGCTTTCGTGTGTTCATGTGGGTGTCTATGTGTGTGTGCTTTCGAGTTCCCCCCCACTTAACTCCATGTTCTCTTTTGTTGCTGGGCAATAAAGCTGAACAGAGCTGTCGTTCTGGCCATTTCTCACTCTTTTATCAATGACTCCAGGCTCGCGAGCCGCCTTGTATTTGGCAGCCATTCAAATAGTCCAACTGCCGTTTATTAATAACCCCAACAGCCCAAAACATATCTCTTTTTTTTGTGCAGCTGATTGCGTAAACTTCGCTCTCTCAGCATTTGTTTTGAATTGCCTCTTGCTGCGTTTGTTTTGGTACAACTTTGCCAGCCGCTCACTAGACTCCGGAGCTCGTCTTATCAGCACGGAATTGGCCTATGGCGCTTCGTTGGAACAAGTACTATATTCCGTATGAATCGTATAGTATACCGTTTCGTATCTCTCCATCGTAATCGTTGTGAAAATCGTGTTAGAGCGGGCGCAACACGCATTTTTCTTTTCAACACCCAACCTTGAATGGGGGAAGTGCGGGCGGGGACAGGTGAAGGTTTCATATCGATGTGCAGTGATCTAGGGTGACGCAAATATGTATGTATGAGATGTGGTATCCACAATAGTACACACACACACACTTCCGCAACGATGACGTAGTTTGCTTTAGTTTGCGTTTTCGTTCTGTTTACACACAATATTTTATACTCGCTCTCTCATTGATTTTCGCCGTGTCTGAGCGATAGTCTAATACTGGGTGGATGCCATGCCACCCACTCAACTACTCTCTCACTCGCACTCTCGCCACTGTTTGTTTTCATCGCGCGCGTGTTTGCACTCGCCGCTGGTTGCTGGCCGTGGGGCGAAAGCGCCTGCCTGCCTGCCCCACACACAGTCTGCCGCAGCCGGGAAAGAGCGGAGATTGTGGAGAGTGTTGCTGCTGCTGCTGCTGCCGTGGAGAGATCTAATGAAAAGCGTTTAATGTTTGTAAACAGACCGGGCAAAAGTAAATTTTCTTTTGTGTTTTTCTTCTTTTTGGCATTTCTCATCCGAATGTGCGCTTCTCTCTTTCTCTCTCTGAATGCACCCATACACAGATACATGCATGACCAGGCACGCAGGCACGACGACACCATAGAGATGTACTGCAGCAGCAGCAGCTTTCACATTTCATTCATACATTTTTGAATTTTTCGCGAGATTTCATTTCAAATATTGCAAAGATTCAATTAAACGTGTTTGTGCAGCAGCGTTCCCTTAAAGACATTCACCAGAATGACGTCATCGCAGTGCGACTTCTTTAAATGTCAGATAAACAGTGCCATGAATCGAAGCGGCGTATTGAATGGGGAGCAATCTTTTGCTTTTTTTTTGTATATCTTAATAATCCGCATTTGATTTTTTGCATTCCAGCGTGGCATTGTGTACAACCGGACCGGAACAGGATCCCACCCCCCCAAACCGGCGCTGAATTATCAGCATAACATGGATGTACAAGTCAAGCGTAGAGATTAGCCGAATCCTTTGAATTTTAAATTCAAAATCCTAATTTAATTTAGTGTAGTAGCGTAGCCTAGCCCCCATTACTTGTGGTTCCAAGCCACAACGCGCAATCACAAGAGAAATCACAGATAAACAGAAAAAACCCAAAAACATTGAATCCCAAAGCTACGAACGAGAATATTGAAAACGCCAGGGCTTAATCATGACTACGGATACCCGCCGACGCGTCAAGTTGTACGCACTGAATGCGGAGCGGCAGTGGGACGATCGCGGCACGGGACATGTCTCCTCGACATACGTCGACCGATTAAAAGGTAAGTATATAGCTTACATTGTGTACTGTAGGTCCATGGGCTAAGCTAAGTGCCGTCTTCCCCCCAAACGATCTTGCAGGTATCTCGCTGCTGGTGCGCGCCGAATCGGATGGATCGCTGCTGTTGGAGAGCAAAATACAACCGGATACGGCATACCAAAAACAGCAGGACACGTTGATTGTCTGGTCCGAAGGCGATAATTTTGATCTGGCTCTGAGTTTTCAGGAAAAGGCTGGTTGTGATGAGATTTGGGAGAAAATATGTCAGGTTAGTATTGATGAGCGATCCTAGATAGCAGCACAAGCACAAGTACAAGCAACATGTGCTGCTGCTTCTGCCTCTGTTGTGCCAATGTCATTGCGTTTGTCATGCGTTCTTCGTTCTTCCGTAAACTGCTGCAGGTCCAGGGCAAAGATCCTTCGGTGGAGATTACACAGGATATTGTGGAAGAGTCGGAGGATGAACGCTTTGAGGACATGTCGGACACAGCGCCACCCATCGAGCTGCCCCCGTGCGAGCTATCACGGCTCGAGGACATATCGGAGACAATTCAGAGCTGTCTCTCCACACCGTTGCGCAAGGAGAAGCTGTCGATGGCCCTGGAGTCGGAGAACTACATCAAGAAGCTGCTGAACCTGTTCCATGTGTGCGAGGATCTGGACAACACCGAGGGGCTGCATCATCTGTTCGAAATATTCAAGAACATCTTCTTGCTGAACAAGAATGCCCTCTTCGAGATAATGTTCGCCGATGACACCATCTTCGATGTGGTCGGCTGTCTCGAGTACGATCCCAGTGTGGCCCAGCCGAAGAAGCATCGCCATTACTTGAAGCAGTGGGCAAAGTTCCGCGAGGCTGTTCCCATCAAGAACCAGGACCTGCTGGCCAAAATCCATCAGACGTTTCGTGTGCAGTACATACAGGACATCATTCTACCCACGCCGTCGGTTTTCGTCGAGGACAACATGCTGAACACGCTCTCCAGCTTTATATTCTTCAATAAGGTGGAGATTGTCACAATGATTCAGGACGACGAGCGATTCCTGCTTGACGTTTTTGCCGTGCTCACGGATCCGGCCACTGGCGACGCCAAGCGCCGCGACACGGTCCTCTTTCTGAAGGAGTTCTGCAACTTTGCCCAAAACTTGCAGCCCCAGGGCAAGGACTCGTTCTACAAGACGCTCACCTGCCTGGGCATATTGCAGGCGTTGGAGCTGACGCTGGTCATGAACGACAAGAAAACCAAGTCGGCCTCCATCGACATACTGACGGCAATTGTGGAGTTTTCGCCGCTGGTTGTGCGCAACTACACTCTGAACCAGGTCAACCGGCCGGAGGGCGTAAGTTTCCACCAACAACAAAAGATGCTTTTCCCCATAGATTAATGTGTATTTTATATGTGTGTGTGTGTGTATATATAGGAGCGCATGCTGCTGAACATTGCCATCGAACAAATGTTGAATGACTCGGAGCCGGAGCTGGGGATTGCGGTGCAGTTGATGGGGATCGTTAAGATCCTGCTAGAGCCGGAGAACATGCTCACCGAGAAGGGCGATTTTCTCAATTTCTTCTACAAATACAGTGTTCAGACTTTAGTTGGTAAGAGTCGTAGTCGTGGCGCACTCCATTTCCAAGGCGACTTGTGTGGTAACCAACTTTCCTCTCCACAGCTCCGCTGATTGTCAATACGCTGGGCGACCGTCCGCAAAACGAAGATTATCAGACTGCACAGCTGCTTGGCATCGTTTTGGACATTCTGTCGTTCTGCGTGGAGCATCATAGCTACCACATTAAGAATTTCTTATTGCAAAAGGATCTCCTCAAGAAAATTCTGGTGCTGATGAAGAGCTCACACACGTTCCTTGTACTCGGCGCCCTGCGGCTGCTGCGCAAGATAATTGCACTCAAAGATGAGTTCTACAACAGGTAATGACCGAAGGTTCGAGACTCTAGTTCGATTATTTATGCCTTTAACTTTTGCGACAGACACATTGTCAAGTGCAATTTATTTGCGCCGGTTGTGGATGCCTTTATTCGTAACAATGGCCGCTACAATCTATTGGAGTCGGCCATTCTGGAGTTGTTTGAGTTTATAAAACTCGAGGATATACGCACCCTGTGCGTTTATTTCGTGGAGAACTTTAGCAAGATATTTGATGAAATCGAATATGTGCAGACATTCAAATATTTAAAGAATCGCTACGATCAGTACCAGGATCGACTCAAGGATCGCGACAAGATGGAAAATCGTACAGATGGGTAGGTGTCTTGTCCCCCCACCAGGGGGGTGTTTCCATCCTCGAGAATTGGTTAACTAATTTTATTTTATGTTTGGTTTGTAACCTAACAGTGGCCTGCCGATCATACGCAGTGGTGGACGGTTTCGTAGGGATCAGCGTCAAATGGAAGAGGAGGAAGAGATGTGGTTCAATGAAGAGGATGATTTCACCGAGGAAATCGATACATACAACAATGTCATCAAATGTAAGAGCCCTAAAAATATACTCGTGGGTAGTTTAAATACACAATTTTCTGTGACAACATTTTTCAGCCGTCAGCGAAAAGAATGGCCCGCAAAACCAATCACCGCAGCAGAAATCTTCTCCGCCGCACAGTACGTCACCCCACAGCGGTTTACTGGGTAATCTGAATTCCACAGCGACTGCCACAGCCACAGCCACTGCAACTGCTACTGCCACATCAGCATCAGCAGCTGGTGCTGGTGCTCCCGTGGCCAGTGGAAGCAGCAGCCCAGAGGCGGGCATTGTCGATGAGCAGGCCCAGGCTGCAGTGCATCTGGCCGCGGCTGCCAACATTGCACTGCAGCATCACCAACAACAGCAACAACAGCAGCAGAACCCATTCCAGCAACAGCAGACACAGCCTGAGATCGCCGAACTGCACCAGCAGTTGAGCGGTGTGGAGACGCCGCAGAATCAGGAGTTGGCGCTATCGCCATCGCCTACAGATAACGCCTCTTCATCATCGTCGTCGTCATCATCATCATCATCATCGCTTGAAGCGTCCACGTCCTCTTCGGCGTCCTCATCCTCATCTTCATCGTCACCGCCGAGTACGTCGGCAGCCGCTTCTCATTGCGATTCGGCGACAGTAGCTCAGGTTGTGGCCAGTCAGTTTTTAACGATCGCGATCGCCGCGTCCGTGACAGCGGCAGCTACATCGGCTGCCCCCAATCTGGCCCCAGCACCGATTGTGGCCGATCCCGATATCGAGTCCGCCGACTCACAGCCGCCTCCTGGCACCACAAGCGAGCTCGATGGCCTTCTCGTCCAGGCTGTGGCGGAGAAAGAATTGGTGGCATCCAGCATCGACGCAAGCACAGACTCGGCGAATAGCGAAACGGACAAGTCGACGACCAAGAAGGTAAACTAAATAAATAGAATCCAAATATTTATATTGCTATATTATTACATTTTCTATTCGCTGCTTACAGGGCCTGGTCGATTATGAGAGCGACTCCGGGGAGGATGATGACGAGGAGGACGAGGACGACTCTGATGGGCCACAAGCACAAAAACGCGCGCGTCTGGCATAGTTGACAGATGCTGAGCAGCAGGGTGGCATCAATTATAAATTAGTACACACATAACCCACACCTACACCCACACTAACACACACACACCAACACCAACGAACAGAACGTAGGGAAGGAGGCGGAGGAGGAGCCGAGCGAGCCAAGCCGACCAGGAGGTCGTCGAGCATCGATGGTCAACCAGCTTGTTAATGCATTTTTGCGGCAACGACAGGCACAGCAGATGAGATGGGAGACGGGAGATAGCGGTACGATGTAAGATCGAACAAGAAAACATAAAGTTAAATTTTAGCATAAAAATTTATTTGAAAGGAAAGCGAACACCTAAAAGTAAAACAAGAAATTATAAATCTTACTTTACTAAATTAAATCTAAACAAACAAAACAAAAACAAAATATATATATATATATGTATAGATATAAAAATATATACATATATATATATATATAAAAATATATATACATATATATTCAAATATATATGCATATGAAAATACAATTAACTATGTATGTGTGTCCAGCCGCACATAACCGAACACCGATCAGCGATCAGCGAGCGATCCAGGCATCCCCACAGCATATGCTACGTGCTCTGTTGTGTGCGTTTTGTTTTTTGAAATGTTGGAAAAGCATTAACGACGAAACCAAAATAAACATGTATTTAGTAGTAAAACAGAGACACTTGCAACACACACACACTCACACGCAGGAGGAGCAGGATGAGGATGTGGATAATGAGTGGTTAGATTAGAGCAGATCCCTTAAACAGATCCTGTGAAGTTGGCTGGTGGGCTGGTGGCTGGAATGTTGTGGAGAAACTTAAAAATTTTGTGCAATATTTGGATAATAATTTGTGGTATTTCAAAGACAATTGCAATACGTATTTTGCCTATATCCGTAGTTATATTTTAGAGTTAATTTCCATTACCATTTTACCTATCTAACAAGACAGGACAGGTGTCTCCCTGCCAATCGCAGTTCTATACATATGTATATTAAAGCGCTGTCTACGCAACAGCCGACAGCTACAGTAAACAAATCTTGGGTGCAAGGTCCAGGTCCCCCCCTGAGGCTTATCTCATTGAATTTGTAATACGAGCACAGATCGGGTAGACAGCACTGTAATGTGTTCAAGCAGAGTAAAAATATACACATACATATTTACTTGTAAGAAATGTGTGTTAATTTTTTAATGGCAAACTAGCGGAGAAATTAAATATATACATTCATATATATATATATATATTCCGTTTAAGACAAGACTATTCACGTACAGTGAGCAATTGTTTTGTAAATACCAGCAAGTGTGCCCCTGCCCCCCCAGCGGCCCAGCCAGCTTGACAATTTCTGTTCATGCAAGTTAGAAGTATCAAACATTTGGAAAGGCGATCCAACAACCCATACATACACTCTGACCCAATGAACCATGTATATAATTTAGTCAGCCTCTATATCGAATTAGACGATAATTGTTCTTCTTGCACCCACTCGCGACAGTTACAGAGCAACAGCAACATAAGGACTAGCAATTGAGAATGGTCTCGTACAGATTGAAAGATGGATTTGTGTAGAAACAATCTCTCTCTCTTTGTTGTACATGGAACCATGTCGAAGGCCAGACGCTTGTCTGACTGTGTAATTAATCAGTTGTTGCGTTACCTTTGAACCATTATCGAACACACACACACAAGCAAACACACATACACACACACACAAATCATTGACAGCAAGCAAGAAAAAAGTAACTAATTATAATTGATTACAAATAGAACGTAAATTATAAAACAAGTGGGGGGAAACAAACAAACAAACAAACAAACAAATAACAATAAATTACAAATAAAATAGTCTTCTTACGTTTTCCATGTAAGTTCTTTTCATATTAAATATACAAAAAACACATAATTTGTATTAAACGAAATGTAGTGGGAGGCGGCGGCACATACCAGAGTACCCAGACCCAAACCCCAATCCAGCTGCAGCTCCAGCCTCAGTCCCTATCCTGCCTGATTCACTCACACCATATCCCCCAAGACACTGACTGACGTTTCGCCCTCGATCGCCAGAAGTAATAAAGTTATTTGTTAATAATCGTATCTGCCATGTGCGTGTGCGTACTGTACTACTTTTATTTATTTTAGTGTTTAAACATAACTAAGAAACGAAAATCAACTCTCACAGCAAAAACGGTTTCCCCTGGAGCAACCAAAAGCGATCGTATCGTAAATTCCACACCACCCTCAATACACCCACAACACACCCTTCCCAGACACATTTGCATGCCCAATAATAATGTAGCTGTGGAGAGTACAGATACAGAGATGAGATACACAGATACATACATACATACATACATATATCCTTCCAAGTTGTTGGTTTTTGTTTTGATTGATTGATTGAACAGCAACAAATACAAATGCAAAATGCAAAACACATGCGCATAGAGAATGCGCGAGCAAAAATATACAAAATAAAAAACAAAAAACAAAACGGAAAGGAAAATAAAAGAAAATAAATAATTAGAAAATAAGAAAAAAAAAAAGCGAAAAACAAACACTATAGTTTATACATAGTATTTATATGAATGGTGTGTATTGTATATGATATGCTGTCGTCTAATCCCTAATCCCAACACACACACACCAACACACACACATACCAATTACATATATATAATTTGGATACTTTATTTAGTTGTTTAAACATCCATGCGTAAAAACCGATATATATAAACTATATTATGATTATGAAGTAAATTAAATAATAGTTTTTAATAGTTTTTAAACAGAAACAAACAATTGTCGAAGCTCTCTCAAGCGTTTTTATTACCCATACAACCCTGTACAACCCTTGCGGTTGTGGTCTCTCGGGCTGGGTGGGTTTGTTGTCAGGGCAACGACGTCCTTGCAAGGACCAAACAAATGTTTCCAGCAAATGTTGACTACACTTTTTGCATTACGGCATTAGTGTTTATGCCACTTGAGTCACCTGAACAACTTGCATCGAAAATGTCCGTAGAAGACTCCTGGGTTTTTGATTCGCTGGTTTGCTTCCTCCATGGACCTGTTTGGAACGCACCGCTGCAGACCTTCATCGAGCAGAGATCTTTGGGTAAGACTTCCGGTGCACCGCACCTTTCAGCCACGTCATCTCCTAACTGCCGTGCATCTTGCGCCTTGGTGCAGTCTTCGATCCCAATCTGCAGTTGGACGAGAACAACGAGGAAATCCTACAGATTCACGACGAATACAAGAACCTGGTCGACTACATGCTGGGCAGCTTCATGGAGGAGATGCAAATATCGCCAGATCAATTCGAGCTGGCCTGCTTGGAGGGCCGGCAGCAGGGCCAGGGCGAGAATCCCTTCCAGTTCCATCAGGTGCTGTTCCAGCAGGTGCTGTATGCCAAAAGCATCGTCCAAACATCGTCATGTCACGTCTGAACGTTCTTTAGATATGGGCCGCCAATGATGTGAAAATCTTCATACGCATGATGACGCAACGCAACGTGGAGCTGCAGCTGCAGGCCCTGGATCTGATAGAGAAAAATCAATTGGCCCAAAATTCCGTGGACGAGGGTGACAGCAACAGCGCCACTGGCTCCGATCAGGGGTGGGTTGGGCACTGAATGTGAATGAATGCGGCTCCCCTTCTCATGATAACTTAATCCACAGCGATGCAGCCGTTGACGTGGATCAGCTCATTGCCAAAACCGTGGACGATGGTTTGGAGAGTCCGGAGGCTGCCGTGACACCCGACCAGGAGGCCAGCCTTGATCTGGTCAACGACAAGTTTCAGCGCTTGAATCTGTTCTTCGAGCAGGAGGACCGTGTGGATCCCACCGATGTGACGTCGCGTCAGGAGTATCTGCGCCAGCAGCGCGACAAAATCGTGGAGATCAAGAAGCAAGCGCGCGCCAAGCAGCTGCAGGAGACCATGGCCCGTGGCAGTCCTCAGGGAGCCGAAGGAGCCCGTCCCAGTTCCGCCCAAGTGGCACAGCAACTGCTCGAGAACGGCGGCAAGACCATGGAGCTCGCCGCGCCGCTAGATAGCGAGGACAATGCAGCACTCCAGCTGCGCCGTACCCTGGCCAAGCGACTGCGCAGTGAAGTTGTGGAGCACAACTAAGCGGGATAGTTGCGCGACATCTTTTGATTTTATTTTCAAACTTTCTCAGCCTCCTTGCACCTTTCCTTTCCTCTTCCACTATTAATATCTATCCGGTTCTATCCGCTTTTCACCAAATATCTAAATAATCTATGTAAAAATTGCCTATAAATTCCAATTAAAAATATGAGGAATGGGAATTGATTTCTTTTCTGTTCCGGTTACCTTCAAAAAAGATTTTTAATTGAATTTGTATTTTTAATTTAATATTTTCAACCAGAATTTAACAGGGTGGTGCGTCGTGCATTGCCAAACGCTGACTAGTTCAGTTGGTAGATGGTAGATGCGGGGATATTCTCTATGTTATAAGGTACCTTCCATGCGCGATCTCCGCCACGTCCACACACAGGCAGACTAAAGCTAAAGTCTGAATGTGTGTGGGCGTGGTTGAGCTTTGTAGCTACCAAAACAAAAACATTTTAAAAGTGCAAATTGTCTCAAATAAAAAATTGTGTAAATTGCGATTTTGCTGCTCTATCTGGGTACGCGATCCCGCAGATACGACATTATGGATTCGGTGCCCTTCATTAGGATCTGGTGACGTGGCTGTCGAAATGGATTGCCCACCAGTTCCAAGTGCCTGCAGAAGGGGGAATTAAATGTCTTTGAGTGCAGATTTTCAAGCGAATATTCTTACGTTATGTTGGTCAGTGTACCCAAAATTGGCGGTATGAAATCAATGTCGTTGTTGCGCAAATCCAATGTAGACAAGCGCGGCATGCACTGTAGTCCGGAGACATTTAATTCCTTGATGTGATTATCGCTGGCAATGAGAATCTCCAGACCCTGCAAATCGTACAAACCACTGGGAATAAACTCAAAACTGAAAGCGAAAAAGTGGGACTTGTGTGAAGATATATTTTTGCAGCAGGTTCTCCATTGTACCCACCGATTGTTCGATATGTTCAGCTCGCGCAGCGTGTTCAGCACCCCAAACTCCTTGGGCAGATCGTTCAACAGATTGTTGGATAAATTCAGAAACGTAATGCGCGTAAACTGTGAGATGAACTGCGGCACTTGGCCAATGAGATTGTGGGCGAGTACCAGTTCCGTGACCAGATTCTGCATGTGCTGCAAGCTGCACAGAAAGAGAAATTCGTTTAAGGGCTTGGCCAGAGGAATGCCGTTGGTGGCCACTTACCCATTGGGCAAGGTTCTTAGCTGATTCCGCGCAAAGTCCACGACATGCACTCCTTCGGACTGGGCCAACTGAAAGACCTTATCGGGCACATCGGTTATTTCCTCCAAATTGACAGCCAATGTACGTGTATGCCGCAGTTTGTATCTGCATGAAGGAGAAGAAACTCGAGTTATTTCTTTGCGATTCGTTTGGCTTTGGGGAATATCAATGAAACTCGGAACTTTGTGATACACTACACCCATCGCGGACAGAGTTCGCTCTGACTGAAGTGCTGGCCGTAGAACTGCTGCTGCTGCTGTTGAAACATGGCTTCAAAGCCATTGAATCGATTGAACGATGGAAAGTCTTGCTCCAGCTCATGCTGTTGCTGTGGCATATAGCGGCCAGAATGGTCGAATCTTTGCTCTCGTTCATAGTTCTGTGAGTGGTATTGCGGCGGCGCATAGACACAGAAACGCTGGGCTTCCGATTGCATTTGCTGCTGGACCTGATATTGACACTGATATTCGAAGTGCTGCTGCTGTGGCTGTTGCTGTAGCTGCTGCTGTGGCTGATAGCTGCTGCTGCTGCTGCTGCGGCGTGGATGAATGTGCTGGTCTGGATTGGGGGGCAGAGTTTGATGTACATACCTGTCGGGATAGTTTCCGGTTGGGTCGCCTGCAGCGTTGCCCGATTGTCCGCCACATAGGCGGGTTCCGGCAGCACTATCCGTGCCACCCTCCTCCTTCAGTCTTGGCCAGGGAACGCTCCTGCAGCGTCTTCAGAATGCGCGCAGTGCCGCATTGGAGAATGTCACGTCTAATCGACTTGATGGGATTGCCCTCCACCTGCAGGCTAATCAAATGGGCCAGCGCCGACAGGCTGACGGGCAGCGTGTCGATAGTGTTGTTCGATACGTCCAGGCGGTTGAGATTTCGCAGCAGGCACAGCTCATCGGGCAGCTCTGTGATCTTGTTATCCCGTAGGTCGAGTACCTTCAGGTGCGGCAAGTTCTCGCACATCCTTATGGGTATGTTCTACGTGGAGGGGCATTTTATAGTGCTTATCCATTGGGAAGGTGCTGGCAATGGCCAGTCATCTTACCACTATGTAATTGTTGCTGGCATGCAGCTCGATCAGGGCCTCGTTTCCCTCAAAGTCGGACAGCTCCAGGATGTCGTTGTGTTGGATGTACAGGAACTGCAGCTTCCTTAGCAGGCCCATGTCCTCTGGCAAGCAGGTGAGGTCATTCTGCATCAGGTCCACCCTTTGCAACGCTTCGTGGGGGGGAGCGGTAATCAACATTTAATAGTGGGACGGGCACTATTATTGAGGGGCGTGGGGGCACACAACTTACAGCGCATGTTAACCAGATCGGGGGGCAGATCCTTAATGTGATTATAGGGCAACAAGAGGGCGGTTAAGCGCACCAGGAAACCAATACCGCCGGGCAGGGATTGTATGTTATTATGCCCAGCATCCTTTTGTTTAGAATTTTTGGTTAACAAGCAGTTGGCATTGGGTATTAGAGGGGGGGTTACAGATTACAGATTAATTAAAGACACCACAACCAGATTCAACGCAAAGGGGGGATTCTTCACTAACCAGATACTCCAGCATGTGGAGATCACTGATGTCCGGATTGAGTTCTGTGAACTCATTATAGCTAATATTCAGATGCCGCAGCTCGGGCAGGCTGTACAGCTCACGCGGCAAACTGCTGAGCTTGTTGCGACTCACATTCAGGCGCATAAGCTTCTCCAGTTTGCCAATCTCCGACGGCAGCTCCACCAGGGCGTTGTCATGCAGCTGCAGGCAGAGGGTTAGACATAGTGCATGGGAATTTGGGTCAGGATGATGGCTCGGGTACGTACAATCAACACGGTTAGCGACTGCAGGTTCTCAATCTTGGGGGATATGTGCGTTAGAGCATTGGAGCTCAGATCCAAATTGGTCAATGGCACTTGGTTCCACCAGGCATCCTCCTCCTTGATCGACAGCTGCTCCAGAGTGGCCGCCTTGCTGTCCGCGTCAGCCTCGTTGATGTCGTACAGTCGGTTGGGCACTGAAACAGACGAATCGTGGAATCAATTAGAAGGCTGTTGCTGGCCATGGCGTACACTAATCTACAGGCGGCTTCTGCACTGGTCGGCGGCGCTGGCTCATCCAGATCCAGTTCCAGCTCCAGCTCATCGTCGGGATCCTCGCTCTCCAGCTCATCGCCCGAGGAGGCCATCTGAAATTCACGAATCTGATAGTAGCTTCGTCGTCGCGGGTGCGGTGCACACATGCAGAACGAAGTAAGCTGCTTCTTTCGCGTTGGTCGCTTGGAGGACGCAATTTTGATGGAAGATGACAACTTGGTTAGATTCGGGCACATCCGCGAGCAGCACAGCACGCTGCGCAAACCAAACGATGACTGGCGCACAACGGCAACACCTTTATGACATGACTGCAGGCGCCTGGCGCTACCTAGTGAAGCGGCAAATGTTGTCGACTCCTTTTAGGGGCCACCAGGGCCAAGTTCGAGATCATCGCGAATCGCGATTGTCTCACATGAACTGAAACCACAATGCACTGCTGTCAACGAGACCGTTGCACATCGCATGCTGCTCATACTGCTGTTCCATGGGCGCCTTCCCGGTGCGAGGCCTCACCTTTGACCGCCAGCCTCGCAATTGCTGCTGCGACACCACCGCATTGGTGCCTAACATTGAAGCTACACTTGGGTGCACTGCATTTGCTTGGGTTTTACTCACCACTAGACAATCCCTTGTTCGACAGATTCAGGGTGCCCGACTTGCGCGCCAGCTTCCACAGCTCCTGGGTTAATACTGTATCGTCCTCATGGGTTGTACGTTCATGGAATAGGGGCTGGAAGGCGTAGTTTGGCCGGGGGGATGCCTGCATACGCGGCCGTGGATGGGCAGCCATTTGTTGGGATCGTGGGGATGCAGACATTCGTGATCGTTGGGCGCATCGTGGAATTCTGCTGGTGGATCCATTTCCAGGGCCGTTCCTTGGCACAGAGTCGCCGCTCATATCGATGGGATCGCCGTAGAAATTGAACCAGGAGCAGTCGTCAAAATCGTAGCCGTCGTTGCTAGTAGGCGAAGTATTGCATTCCTTGGCCAAGTTGTTGAATGCGTACAAGCTGGCAGTGTCTTCGACGTTGCTGAAGCTGGGCGGGCACAGGTACAGGGTAAAGGTGTCAAACAATCATCAAAATTGCCAAAATTATGTTCAAATATTTGCGTCGTTTGTTTTTCTTTTTTTCAGCTGCACGAATCAGCTGTTCGTAGGTGTTGTTTATTTGTGCGTTTAACAACACTACCCTTGTGAATTTAACGGATAATGCAGACTCAAATTAAACTGGCAAAAATGTACCTAATTACGTTAAAAACTAACGAATCTTGAAAGGTTCACATTGTTGAAATGCAGAACTTAGCTGGATATAATAGACTTAAAAGACTCAAGACACAGCTGCACAAATTAAAATCAATTTAAGCTGCCAGATCTGGGGCAGCTGCTGCACCTGTTCTGCCGCAGTTTATGATTCTAGATTACTTTGAGTAGGGCCAGTAATTGATTTGATCATGAACTTAAATCTATGCATAATGTGTGTGCAGGCCGCAAGCCGCTTAAGGGCTTAGGGTTAAGTCGCTTAATTCGGTTTTACTTACTTCATCATCTTGGGATTGGTTTGGGTTTTGACTTGATCCGACTGGGGCTTCCTCTGTGGGAAGATACGAGATACATTGCAACGGCGCAAGGTCAGCCACAGAAGTTAGTCAGTTAGTCTGTCTGTCTGTCAGTCTGTCTGTCTGTTTGTCGGGGGTGTAGTGTTGGGTTTCCTAGCCTGCTTTACGCCCCACTGCAAAATGTTTGCTGCTTGCACCTCCGCCGAACGCCTTAAGCGAGTGACCGACGAAGCGGCAAAAATGCTGAGCTCCCGCATGAGATGGGGGGCCTGGTCTAGCCGTACTACGTCGACTGTCAATCAAAATTATGAATAACGCTGGCGCACGGCGTAGGGTCAGTTGCCTCCAATTGGTCGCCGCCACCCTCATAAGCCATCCCTGCTGGGCGGCGGGCACCACTAGGTGCGAACAAACGCTGGGGAGCACTTGCCAGTTCTCATTTGGTTTTCATTGCAAGCGGAACGGAACGTAACGGAACGGCACACGTGGATTTTTGTGTAGTTTGGATATTGCATCAGCCGAGGACCGTGGACCCGTGGACTCACACTCACCCCGATAGACTTCCCCTTTTGTGTGGCAATGGCGGCTGGGGTTTTCAAGAGCTTTATGCGAGATTTCTTTGCGGTCAGTCGATTGGTCACTACGCGATATCCTAAAAATGATTAACGAAAGAATTTCGAAGTTTCGAATTTGGCGAAAGGATTCCAAAAAGTTATCTAAACGAGCAGCTGACAGAATTTTAAATGAAAGCGGATTGATTTAAATTCCATTTCCACATTTCCCCAGTGCTTGAGCTAATCCATAGACAGGCACAGACCTTCCTTGAGAACCCGCACAGCTGGGCATAAGTTTTTTTTTGTACTGGAATGTGGGAAAAGCGCCAGCCGACAGAATAATCCACATTAATCCATGGCGAAAAATTCTTTTGGATTAAAGCACACACCTGAACTGAACCTCTTCCGTTCCACAGGTCAAATACGATGACAAGCAGCATGATCCGGAGGCACAGCGACTGGATGGCAGTGGTCGCTATTATCCCAACTGCTCCTCGGATGTCTGGCTGCGCTCCTGCGAGCGGGAGATTGTGGATCCCATCGAGGGTCACGCCAGCGGCCACATACCCAAATGGCTCAACGGCAGCCTCCTGCGCAATGGTCCCGGCAGCTGGAAGGTGGGCGAAATGCGTTTTGGCCACCTCTTTGACTGCTCGGCGCTGCTGCATCGTTTCGCCATACGCAATGGCCGTGTGACCTACCAGAGCCGCTTCGTTGACACGGAGACACTGCGCAAGAATCGGGCAGCTCAGAGGATTGTCGTCACGGAGTTTGGCACGGCAGCGGTGCCGGATCCCTGCCATTCGATCTTCGACAAGTTTGCGGCCATCTTTCGGCCGGACAATGGCACGGATAACACGATGATCTCCATCTATCCGTTCGGCGATGAGTACTACACCTTCACCGAGACGCCCTTCATGCACCGGTAGGTCCAATGTCCATTCCGTTCTTCTGATTCCTCTCTGATATGTGCCAACTGCAGCATCAATCCCTGCACTCTGGCCACAGAGGGACGCATCTGCATTAGCGACTATGTGGGCGTGGTCAATCACACCTCGCATCCGCATATCCTGCCCGGCGGCACGGTCTACAATCTGGGCACAGCGATGACCAAGTCCGGACCGGCCTACACGATCATCTGCTTTCCCAGGGGCCAGCACATGTTCGAGGAGGCGCACGTGGTGGCCACGCTGCCATGCCGCTGGAAACTCCACCCAGGCTACATGCACACCTTCGGCGTGACCGAGAACTATTTCGTTATCGTTGAACAGCCGCTGTCCGTGTCCCTCACGGAGTACATCAAGGCCCAGCTGTCCAGCCAGAATCTCTCCGCCTGTTTGAAGTGGTTCGAGGACAAGCCGACGCTCTTCCATCTGATCGAGCGTGGCAGCGGCAAACTGGTGCAGACCTACGAGTCGGAGGCCTTCTTCTATCTGCACATCATCAACAGCTTCGAGCTGGATGGCCACGTGGTGGTCGATATTTGCAGCTACAAGAATCCCGAGATGATCAACTGCATGTACCTGGAGGCCATTGCCAATATGCAGACCAATCCCAACTACTCCAACCTTTTTCGCGGTCGCCCCTTGAGATTTGTGCTGCCGCTGGGGGCCAGAGTGCACGGCCAGGACACGGCGTCCGGCTCCAGCAGGCGGCGCCTCATCAAATCCTTCTCCCTGGCGGGCCTGAGCACTGCTCAGCCCTCGAGAACGCTGAAGCATTCCGTCTCCCAGTACGCGGACATTACCTACCTGCCCACCAATGGCAAGAGGGAGGACGCCACCGAAGAGACGCTGCAGAGCGAGGTTAAGCGGGGTCGCTACGAGGTGCAGGATGCCATCAATCTGGTGACCCTAAGCAACAGTCGCGCGGAGGCGTACCAAGACCCGCGACGTGGCATAGTCTTGCGTCCCGAAATGCTCTGCGACTGGGGCTGCGAGACGCCGCGCATCAACTATGACGTACACAATGGCAAAAACTATCGCTACTTCTATGCCATCAGCTCCGACGTGGATGCACCCAATCCAGGCACTGTGAGTACACGAAAACCCTCAAGCGTTCCTTACACTCCGTTCCGTTCCTCCGTTGCAGCTGCTGAAGGTGGACGTGTGGCAGAAGACGAGCCTGAGCTGGTGCGAGGACAATGTCTACCCGAGTGAGCCCATCTTTGTGCCCTCGCCGCAGCCGCAGAGCGAGGACGATGGCATCATTCTGGCCTCGATGGTCGTGGGCGGTCTTAACGATCGCTACGTGGGTCTAATAGTGCTCTGTGCCAAGACCATGACGGAGCTGGGCCGGTGCGACTTTCACACGGGCGGACCAGTGCCCAAGTGCCTGCATGGCTGGTATGCCCCGAGCGCGGATTAGGCCAGGGTTTAGCTTAGTCTGAGTTTGTTGTATTTTAGATTAGAACTTTGGATTCAGGACATTGGCAATAAACTCCTGCCACTTGCGCTGAAAGATGCGATTGATCTTGCGCCGCTCGTCCGAGGTGAGCACCGCATACTTGATGGAGTTGAGGGCCAGCTGCTTGAGGAAGCGCAGATCCGCCTCGGCCGGTGCCATGGCCATGAAGGCATAGTAGAAGTCATAGCTGAGGCCCTTGGCACCCCACAGCCCCGGATCATCGGATGATATCACAATGGGAAAATTCTGAGCGATCAGAAAGCTGGCCGGATGATTGCGCAGATCCCAGACAAAGCCCAGCACCTGATTCGATATGGGATTCACCTCGATGGCAATGTCACGCTTCTTGATCGTGGACCACAGCTGCGGATGCTTGGGCAGTGCCAATGCGTGTCCAATGCGCTTCGAGCCCAGCAGAATGGCATCCATTATGTTCCAGTCGGTGCGTCCATGCCAATCTGCAAAGAAGACAGTCAATCATTAGTCTGGGATCCCCCCCCGGCTGTGTGTCTGCCTCACTTGTCTCGCCCGCGTGGAAGAAATAGTTGGCCGTGCTGGGCAGGTCGGACAGCTCGTTGACGAATTTGCTGAGCGGATCGCCCGTATCCTCCTGTCCAATCAAATCGAAGCCAATAACAAAATTGGGTTTTGCATGGCTGCAGGGGAATCAGAATTGGATTTTTATCCGAGTTTGGGTCTGTATTGTCTTGGACTTACTGCAGCTGCTTGAAGGTTGTGATGCGTCTGCTCATCTCCTCCTCGGTGGCTCGATTCCGCTTGGCGTAGATCACCTTGAGGCCGACAAAGTCGTGATGCTTCGCCTTGAACTCCTCCACGATGCGTTCCAGCTCGTTGGCCACCTCCAGTGTGCTCAGCGTGCGATTGTTATCGTCATACAGCTGGCAAAATGGGCAATAAAGCTCACGGATTAGCCCTCCAGCTAAATGGAAGCGATACTCACAGGCGACAGAGAGGCTCGCACCTCGGCGTAGATGATGTTATCCTCACACAGCTCCTCCAGCAGGCGCTTGTGGTAGGCGCAGTAGGTGGGTCTGTACTTGTACAGCCGATCGACAGTCGTAAAAATATTCTCAAATCGTTCCCAGATCTTTTTGCGTTGTGGCAACAGTGCTGAGAGTGGTGGGGGAGAGATTAATGTATCGAATAATAGCTCGAAAAAATGATTGGCAACCCCACCTTCTGGCCTCTGGCGGTGCATGTTGATGTGCTTCTCGAGCTGCCGCTCGTACTTATCCCGATCCTCCGCATTGATGCGCTCCGTGCACACATTCTGCACCTCGCTGTGGCAGCCACTCTGGTCGTAGGTGAAGACGAGCAGCCCGTCCACATTGCGGCACGTGTAGAGGTTGTTGGTGGTGCTCAGATTGCCAATCACCCACTTGGAGGTGACCATACCGGTGTTGTGGCCATGCAGGAAGGCGCCCTTCGGCATCTTCTGTATGAAGCGGAACACCTCGCTCTGGCGCACATATTGCCTGCCCTGGAAGAAGTGCATGGCCGGCGGATACTTCTCCGGCGTCTTCATGCCCTCGGCAATCTCCGCACGCTTGGCGTTCATCAGGATGCTGTTGGCCTTCTCCTCGTCCGAGGAGAGCCAAATGTTGCCGCCCAGTGAGGCCAGGCGCTCCGCCTCCATGATCTGCTCCCTCAGTGTCTCGTAGGCTGCAAAAATTGATTGAATGGATCGAAAACGGTTCCCCCTCGCATTTGATTGTGGATGCTGTTTAATCGGCAGGGCAACATGGCGGCGACTTACGTAAGTCCGTGGCATGCAGCCCCCCCAGAAGAAGGGCCGACACCAGGCACAGCAGCAGCAGCAGCAGTCCCAGCAGCATCGCTTCCCAGTTCCGTCACAAAACCAAATATACGCCGTATTTATACTTATTAGATGCTCGTCGCTCGGCGTTTGCCAGCCAACTGATAAAGCCCCTGCTGGCTGACCCATATTGTTTGTCCCACACTCTCCACTCCCTGTTCATGATCTCGGGCTGCTTTTTAGCTGCAGTTCAATGTCAGCGATTAGTCCACTCTGCTCGGCTCGGCTGCTATTTGTGGGTGCGAAATGTTGGGCACCGGCCTTACTCCGCCTGGCACTTTCGTTGACACTGGCCCTGGACTGGGGGCAATTTGCACATAGATTTCATGATCGCATCATTGCCATTACAGCCATACCCTACCCCAAAACGAAAGCCTGCATCTGCACTGCTATATATGTATGTATGTATAAGTCTCCAAGGTCTCTCTTGGGTGGGCAATAAATTCATTTAAATTAGCGCTCTGTGTGTAGGGCACCTCTGCGATGGCATATGCCCTCTTCTGGCTATGTTCTATCAGGCAATGTTTTGTTTTTATATGCAAGCACATTGCGCACATACGAGAGTATATGGTAATTTATTTGCGTATTGCTTACTTGCCCAATTTGTTATTTGTTGATTCACTAAAATGATGCTTGACATTGACTACGAGGAGGGGGCCGTCCATCATGCTCTGTCCAAGAGAATGTCTCTCAGGGATATGGGCTTTGAATCTGCCTCTGTTTCTCTGTTTTTTTCAGCATCAAATTAAACAAATCTTTATCAAGGAGATATAGGGAAAGAATTGATAGAATTTATTTCATATGTTTGCCTGAAAGTATGCAAGGGCTGCCAGATCTAGACAGATCTTGCATAATAAAGACTACTAAGGACATAATTGTCCTTAATAACATTTTCACATTTTATTTTACCCAATTTTACCCTAATTTACCCAATTGGCATTAAGTTTCATTAAGTTTTATTTTTATTTTTTTTTTATTTTATTAATGTTTTATTTATTATAAAAAAGGTTATTCTTGAGAAGAGTTATTCCACAATTTCCTTTTAACTTATTCCACCATTAAAAAAAAAATACGAGACATTTGGTTCAATTTCGGTTAACGATATATTTTTAGCTGTTATTGTTTGAATTAAATTTTAAAAAACCTACGTTCAAATTTGCTTAAAATTATAACCATTTTAAAGAGACATCAATGCACAATATGAACAGAAATTTGCATTAATATTTTGCTCCAACTTTCGCTGAGATCTGAGTTTGAATTGATCGCCCCGAAAACCACTTCCATATTTGTCCCGTGCGAATGGCTTCTCGAAAACGAAGAGTTGCCTAAAATCGAGCACCAGCTATAGAGCTACTCAAAAGGTGCGACATAATGGTAAAACAATACTGAAAATCTCTAATAGCATTTAAAACCCGATAATTTTTTTTCTAGAAATTATTTTTATTTTTTACTCTGCATTATTTTCTCTGAGTGTAAGAATAAATTGATTTAAGTTCAAGTTCTTTACTCCGAAATTCACTCCCAATGCTTAGGCTTAATTCACTCTGTAATAAAGTTGTATAAAAATCAGAAAATAAATAAACATTACCAGCCCAATTCATGTCGCGGCAGTTTTTCTTAAATGACAACCGAATAAGTGCTCACCTTCTTTTTTGTTTTTTGTGCCTGTAACCGGGGGATAATTGTCGCATCTGCAATTACCGTAAATGCCGCACACCCCCTTAGCACCCACAATAAACACCGCCCCATCGGTATACGGGAGCTGGAGGAACTTGTAATTCCAATGCCGTATGGGACTACCTCGTAGAAACCAACAAGCGCGTCCGCAAACGTCAGTGAAAATTTGCCAAAATAGAAGAATAGAAAAAAATATACAAGTAAATATTTAGTTAAAAATCAGCGAGCTGTGGGCGCGCGCGCCTTCGTCATTTTGAACCACTTAATATTCACGGGCGTTATTCTATACGACAAAAAAAAAACAACAACAACAAAATCACAAGCAATGGTATTAGAACGAAAAATTGTTTTCGGCAATTCCGAGAGCGAGTGCGTCGTCAACCGTTAAGAGGCTTCAACTCCAGCTCGCATACAATGTCTGGCTGGGATTCATTCCAGGTTTATCTTTTAATGAGGTGATTGCAGACTCGGCCCCCCCCAACAATGATTGTGTAAAAATTATAGTTATTTTTGTTGTTGTTGTTTTATTTGTATTTTTGGTAACTTTCAGTGGTGCGGCATGGGTGTTGGTGCTCGCAGTTCAGAACGGGCACTGCTAACGAACGGGCGTGTGGCGCGGTGAAAGAAAAGAAATCCGAAATTCAAACCAAACCAAACCAAAACCCCAAAGCAAACAAAGTCAACGTGTCCGACTCAAGTCAATATTTGCATAGTGTACTCATTATCCACGTTGTTTGGAGTACACGAAAGGTCAAGAAAGTCACAGAGTCCTGTCACATAATGAAGAGATTTTCGGTGCTGCTGTTACTGCTGGTGGTGCCGCACCTGATCCTGGTCCAAGCGCAGACTGCCCTAAGTAGGAGCCTCATCAATCCGATCGTGTCTGTCTACGCAGCCTAAACCCTTCTCTTCTCATCTCTCGCTTAGGCTACGAGCAGGCGCGCCAGGCGGTGCTCACTGCGGAGGAGGAGCTGATGACGGGCGGCCATACATATCTGAGCACCGAGGAGGCCAAAGCGGATGACATCTTCATGCAGTACAAGCTGGGCGAGCTGGCGCAGGGCTTCCGCAATGCCGAGCAAAATGCCGCAGCCATGCACTTTTTCAAGGCCAAGCCGCTGATCGATCGCAGCGGAGTCTTTCGCTTCCTGCAGAAGATGCCCAAGGGAGCTGTGCTCCACCTGCACAACTCTGCCTCGGTGAGCTCCAAGTGGGTGGTGAAGAACATGTCCTACATGCCCGGGCATGCTCCGCTGCACCACAGACACAGGTCGGAGTGTCCTGACGTTCCGACGAGCGCCCAAGGAGCACCAGTGTCAGTCGCAGTATGTGCGTGTCTCCGACGAGCGGCGGAGTTCCATTGATCCACTGGTCTATGATCAGAATTTTGAGCGTCTCATCAATCTGTACACACCGGTGCCAGAGCGTAAGTTTTGGGCAGAAACTTCGTAGGAAATGCTCTGATTTCTCGCAACTACTTTCAGTGGAGTATCCTACGATCACCAAAGTGTGGGATCGCTTCCAGGACATGTTTGACACTTTTGGGGATGCCATTAGATACTTGCCAGCCTTTCGCGCCTATCACTGGCAGATGCTCGAGGAGCTCTACAACGACAATGTGATGTACGCCGAGATTCGTAGCAGCTTAAAGCCGGTAAGTGAATTCCGTACTTGAGTTACATTTTGTGATCATTTCGAGCCGCTCTCAGCAGCTGTACGATGCCAGTGGACGGACCTTTTCGCAGGAGCGAACCATACAAGAGTTTTATGCACTGAACGAGAAATTCGTGCGGCTGCATCCCGACTTTCTGGGCATCAAACTCATATATGCCGTCTATCGCGGGCACGAGGTCGATAAAATAAGTGAATATTTTGAGGATTTCCGACAGTTGCAGTGAGTAATATAAATCACTTGAGAGCTGAAATTCTCACTGATTGTGACTGGTTTTATAGCAAAGCTTTTCCCAACTTTGTGGTTGGCTTCGATCTGGTGGGACAGGAGGACAATGGCAAGCCATTGTATGCTTTATTGCCTGCCTTAAGGGACCTGCCGCCCACGGCACACTTCTTTCTACACGCAGGAGAGACAAGTAAGTGGTTCGCAGGTGCACAAGGGTTCAAGCTAACCAATGCCTCATTTCAGACTGGTTTGGGGCCTCCACGGACATCAATCTGCTGGATGCGCTTCTGCTCAATAGCACGCGCATCGGACATGGTTATGCGCTGGCCAAGCATCCGATACTCCTGAATGCGGTCAAGACGCGCCAGATAGCCGTCGAGGTGAGCCCCATCTCGAATCAGGTGCTGCACTTGGTATGGGATATGCGCAACCATCCGGGCGCCCAGTACATGGCGCTGGACGTACCGCTGGTAATATGCAACGATGATCCGGGCTTCTGGAACGCCAAGGCATTGAGCTACGACTTCTACTATGCCATCATGAGTCTCGCGCCCAACAATGCTGGACTGCGTGTGCTCAAGAGTCTGGTGTGGAATTCGGTGCGGTACTCCCTGCTCACAGAGGAGGAACAGAAGCGAGCCTACCAAATCCTAGAGCTGACATGGTCTCGCTTCATCGACAAAGTGCTGCAGGGCAGTGTCTTCTAATGGCAGAACATTTTTGAATTAAACTTCAAAATAGGGCGTACTGTTTTTTCTCTTGGATATTTAATGCGGCCTGCTAGGCCTCTGACTTGTATGGGGTATCGACTGTCTTTATGGAGAGGCAGCCTTTCCTGTGTGCTGCTGAACAAAGCGTTCGCAGCTCTCCCGAATCTGCAAATAGGCAGCATGAAAGCCACTCATGCCTTGGGTCTGTAAAGGGAGACAGCCTTAGTATATAACATACAAATGATTTCTTAGTGATAATTACAAAATATGGATCCTCAATGATCTCATCTTCCTTGCGGCCCAGAAAGCTGCCCAGCAGCATTATCTTACACTGCGGTGGGGGCTCCAGGCTTGCTGCCATTTGGCGCAGCTCCGACAGGTTGCTGTTGTCCATGCCCAGAATGTAATCGAATTCGTAAAAGTCTTGCGTCGTTATCTGCCAGAAGAGTTTAGAATCTATAAGATTATGGTACGTACAGTACAAAGCCGCTTACCATTCGACTCAAGTGTTTTGACTTTAAGCCATGCTGCTGCAGCAGCTGCAGGCCACGTCCCTGTGGCTCTAGGCCCACATTCCAATCCCTGAGGCCCGCACTGTCCGTTTGCCAGTCCTGCAGTTGTTGTTTCACCATCAAATGGTTCAGTACAGCCTCCGCCATGGGCGAGCGACAGGTGTTGCCTGGGATGTACAATTTAAAATGAATTTAATATGCGATTAATGGATCTGTGTAGCTTACCTATGCACACAAACAGAACCTTCATCGTGGCGGAGACAATGCGAAATGCAGGTTGCGCCGATTAGTGCGCTGACTCATTTCGGAATTTCACAACCTATCTTCGGCATGCCGAATTTTGTATGCCCTTTGAGTAAGATATTTTGAGCAGACTTCAAACTAAATGATTGGGGAATCAATATGTATAAAATGTCTGAGCTGTTGCCATTTGTGCGTCACAAACTGTTGCCCAATTTTATAATACCCTCTTAAAGGGTATAATAAAACCAGCTAGCGCTTTGTACTAGACATTTATTACTTGAACTATGAGTATATCACAAAACCGATTTAAACGAGGCGCTCTTTCATGAAGGCGGCGCAGGCCACAACACACTGCTGATAAGCGGTCTCAAAGCCAGCCGCACCACGCTCCTGCAAGGTCAAAGGGGACATTTCAAGGGTTATATGCAAATATTTGATGGCAACTTACATAGTAGGGATCCTCGATGATGCGATTCTTGGCCTCCAGGCCGAAGTCACCCAGCATGAGTAGCTCCGCCTTGGAACCCTTGGGCGCCAGCCGCCGCAGCTCGCTCATGTTGTCCTCGTCCATGCCGAAAATGAAGTCGAATTCGGTAAAGTCCTGCTTCTTTATCTGGCGCACAATGTGGGTGCACTTGAGGTCGTGCTGGGCCAGCGTGCTGATGGCCCGTGGATCGGCACGATTTCCCACATGCCACGACCCAATAGCCGCACTGTCCACTACAACATTCTTCTTGTTCGCCTTTTCCAGAGTTTCGACCATCACCACCTCCGCAATTGGGGAGCGGCAGATGTTTCCTTCAAATTCAAGGGGTGGCCCATTACATCAAAGATGTTATATTATATATAAAATTTTATAGAATTTATTTACCCAAACAAATCATTAAAATTTTCTGCACCATTTTTTTTTTTTTGGTATATAATCGCTGCCGCGAAATTTGATGGTATTTTCTTGTTTTGTTTTTAAATTGCCTCTCCATAGCCAGGGCGCCGGCGGCTATCGATATCGGCATTAGACCCCCTTAAGCAGTTAAAAGGCGTTTACACGGTATTAGACCGTGGACATAATACTTTTTGTTTGGGTGTTTGATGACAAGATACACAAATTTATTGAAAATCAACAGAAATGACCACCGACATCTTCAGGAATATGGACATGAAAAAGAATTGATTCTCATATTTAAATATTATTTTCGGACATTTCATTGTTGCGTTTGTGGGAGTTCTTCTTCAAATTATGAAAACCACCGAAGTTTTTCTCCAGCAATGTCTTAATGGCATCGGGGGGTCAGAAAAATTTCATATGATAATAATTCCAATCAGTTTCAAGTATTTTATTTAATGGCTTTATGTATATTTTCAACTTTTTGCACAATCATACATTTTTGGCGAGCGCCAAAACTTTGATTTTGCGATCTACAATTTTTTGTTGTTATTAGTGGTGATAGTTGCGGCTGATAGGCAGCAAATTCCAAAAACGAGCCAAAATCAATCAGTATCATTTACCGAAGAGACGCACATGAATCAGACACTACCAACTTGTGGCCACCATGTACAGAGGCTATTCATACCTAAGTAAGCAAAAACAGACTGCGTCTTCTGCCAACGCAAAGAAGTTGGATGCGTTTGCCCCGCGTAAGGCCTAGTAAGTTTAGTTTATCTCCATGTAACCAGGCAGAAAACAGGGCGGCGATCAAACGAGACTTACCCCCTAACAGCTTTTAATTTTGTTATGAAATGAACCAAATCTTTATCAAACCGTGGAAATCAATTTAATTTTTGTTTTAGATCCAATTTAGACCCATCCTCCTCTTTTTACTTAAAAAACAAAAATGACCACCGACATCTTTTCACCTGTAATGCGTAAAATCGATGTTAAAGTTATATACATTTTGTCGGAAATATTAAATACCCCTCTGGTCGACAATGGGCTAACGTTCAATTTTATTGATTGAAATCGTATTCCATAATTTTGATATTCAGTTTAATATTACTAGTTAGTTAACCCACTCAGCCCTAAGCAAATAATTTTATCCGATAGATACATCCATTTTCTACAAGATTAGCTAGTTTATAAAACTCCTGTTATTGCATTTATTGCAAAGCATCAGACGAAAATGTTGACTAAATGTGACATCAGTGTTGCTGGTCAACCAAGTTTCTTTTATGCGTATGGGCTTTTGTATACCCTATTTCCTTTAATTTCTGTTAAATTTGTTGTTCCAAGCTGCTTTAAGACATTAATATTGTATTTTTCTTAGATTAAGATGTTTTTTTACCTATAAATGCATATTTTTTGTTTATTATATATACATTTAGCCCGGTCCTGATAGCTTTTATTGGAACCCGTGAGTTGCCAAAATTTCGTTAATATCTTGAAAACAGAGACTGAGTCGTTTCTGCATTAATTGGAGCCTGAAATTACAAACAATTTCTCAAGTCCATAATATCGATATTTTGGTACGCTAAATGGAGGTTGGCGGTCATTTTGAAAATTATCTTAAAATATTGAAAAATAAATATTTCATTTGATTTGTTTTGTCACAGCGGATTTATCGAAATACGAACTTAACCCACTTAACCCCCTCTGTTTAAACAGGTGAACAACTCAACCACGGAAAAAAATATTTGTAAATTATGCTTGATCTTTTTAAATAAAAAGAGAAATGAGTACGATATCTTTTAACTGATTTGCGCTAAAATTCTTCAAGTTTCATCATATTTGTCAGGGTTTTAAATAACCATTGGTGGACAATGGGTTAATCGTTCTCAGTCAACTATCGGAAATCACATTCCTAGATTTTCATATTTGGCCAAATATTTCAAGCTATCTAAGACCCTCATCACTGAACACATAATTTTATCCAATTGATTAATCGATTTTCTACAAGACTGGTTAACTTTGAGGACTCCGTTCTATTGGATTTATTTTTAGAAAATAGGGTTTAAACACGAACTAAAAAATATCGTAATTTTGTTCCGATTCCAAGTTCAGCCGTTTCGGTCATTCCAGGTTCATTTGAACCACTAGCTTTTGTAGCTGAAAATGTGCGCCAAAATTGAATTCTATTGGCGTTGGTCTCACATTATTTGATTTAATTGGGCTTGTTTCAGGAAATGCTCACATGCGAGGGTACACTGTTTGTATATCTTCTCAAATGGAGCCGTGCCCATAAGCTGGAAATCGTTATAATTAAATCACTTATGAAAATCGAAAAATATCTATGCCGAGCCTCACGTAGTATGGATCCTCAATGCTGCGCTCGTCCGGTTTGAGGCCGAAATCCCCAAGAAGCAGCAGCTTGGCCCTGGAATATTTCGGTGCCAGGTGTTTCAGGGATGCCATATTGCTCCGATCCATGGCCAAGATATAGTCAAATCTAACGAAATCCTTGGGCTGCAGCTGACGCGCCACACTGGTGCACTCGATGTTGTGTTTGGCCAGAACCCTCAGCGCACGCTCGTCCGGCCTGGAGCCGTGGTGCCATCCCTCTATCGCGGCGCTCTCTACGTGCCAATCCTTCTGCAGCCCCGCCCTGGCAATCACGTCACGCATCACAGCCTCAGCGATGGGGGAGCGGCAAATGTTTCCTGCGTGTGCATGGCATTTGCATATTAATTAATGGACTCTTTCTGGGATAAGTCCTACGCACCCACGCAGACCATCAGCACGTTCCGCGGCATGGTTCAATATTCAAATTTCAATCTAGTGTGGATATATGTACGTAAATGTGGTGTATTATTGTATCTAAAAACAGCAAAATACAAAAAATTGACATGTAAATCTACAACAACCAAAAAATGTGTCCCATCCCGACGTACAGTAAACATTCGCCAAGAGCCTAAAATAAACATAGCAGAACCTGAGCAGAGTCAAGTGGGGAAAAACCTCTCTCTGGTTCACACCTCCTGGCACTTCCTGCTGCCTGCTGCAGTGCATCCTGTTTACCCACGTTCCCCATTTAATGCTTAAAATGTATTTAAAGTTCATCTGTGGAGTGCAGGCGGGGTCATCTGTCCCACGGGAATCACTGTTGCCAGTGGCATGAAGAGGTGATGAGCACTGTCCTCTCTCTTGGTGCCTGGCTCTACATTGCCCATGAATATGCAAGAGGCTGCATCCGCTGTGTGCACCATCCGGACAGGCTGGATTCCAAATTTTTAATGACTTTTAAGGAGGCGATGACACTGCCAGAGGAGTGCCCTGCATGGTGGGTTGGTAAGCCCCAAAGCAGGTGACCAGAGGCCTGGTCTCGGTCTCGGTCTCCGGCTCCAGCTCCGGCTCTCGTTTCTGAGGTCTGCTGTCTGGCAGAAATAAAGTTGCTTTTAAAATAAATTCGGTTTGTTTTTGGAGAGGAAAAACTGAGTTTTATGCAAATTGTATACCGTATACCCAACCATTAAGGCAAACAAAAGCACAGACGTACATACATATGTCTGCACATAAACTTTGCCAAGGTTTTTATTTAGTTGTTATATACATATGTACATACCCTTGCAGAGGGTATTGGAGGGATTGTGTTCAGGCTACCATTTTCCTTTAACTCTGTTCTCAAATTGGCTACACCAAGAACAGTCACTGTGACAGCTAATATGGGGACACACATCATGGAAACTATCCAGCTGAAAGGGTAGCAGAAGCGTCGGGTCCCCAAAGCCTAGCTTTTCGCTCTTGTTGGAGTTGCAGTGACATCAGGGACTTGGAGGCGGGTGGAGGCGGTTTTGACGGCATCAAAGTGAGCTTGTCGGATTGCAGACAAATGTTACGTACTCTCATCACACTCTTACATATGCAAATGTCCCTGGCTGGCGGGATGGCTGGCGTTGCTGCTGCAGTGCGTCCTCCGCAATTGACAATTGTTGAGAATGCAAATGGAAATGGAAATGCAAAGACATGTGCCACACAACAACAACAACAACAACATGCGAGGAGGAGGCCGTGGCGAGGCTAGGCGTTGTCAGGGCTATCATCATGCGGCGACAACGATGTCGTCTCTTTGGATAAGATAAACGCCGGCGATGCCGCCAGCTGTCGAGTCAACAACAGTGGACTGAAGCGACATGGAATACTATGGAAAGGTCAGTGTGCAAATAAATGAACACGAAATAGATTCTCAAGTGCAAATGAGGCAAAGGCAAATGATAAGCGAGGTAAAAGACAATCATAACGTATGCTGTATCCTTCCGTTCCGTTCCTTTCCCATTCCTTCTCATGAAATTTCTGAACAAAACATGTCTCTTTGTCGGAACAGAAGATGAACATCCATTTTGAATTTGGAATTTTGCATTTGGCAAATGAAAAGCGGAAAAGCTGGCAAGTTGGCGTGGCACAGCAGACAGCTTGTCTGTGCAGCATCTCTCCATCTGTATCTCTGTTTAGCTGAGTGCTTATTTGTATCTGTATCTCGCTGCTGTCGGTGTGTCTGTCCGTGTGTCTGTCCCATGCAGCTTCATCAAATATTTAGCGCCAGGCAGGCGTTGCAGAGGCAAGTCCGGGGATATACAAATAGGAGCATTGTGCTCGTTCAAAGTAAATACAGAACGGACGGAGCATTGCTTGGATAACAACTTTGATAAACTATATATCCAAGGCTCGACCATAACTATACTCTAAGGAGATCTGAAGAATTTCTTAGATATTTTTTTTTAGTTCAAAGGAAGGCACAGCGGGAGATAAGATAATGGAATTTTCTTTGCTGCTGCAAGATTAAAGTATATGAAATATATATATTCACGAAAAACAATCATCCCACACTCTCACCCACCCCATATATACCCCTTGGCGGCCGACCAGCATTTGAGGGGTATAAACACAGTAAAACTACCCTGTAATTTTGTTGGGGTGTGAGACGGGGAGACAGCAGCCGGCACAGCCAGCCAAAAAGCCGGCAACAACAAACTCCAGCAACAAATAACTGGGGGCGGCGGGCTGCTGGCAACATGCTGCCAAGCAGTGGGGCATGTTGCCAAAGTTCATTTTGTGCCGGCAACCAAGGTAAAACTATAGAAGGTACCAACAACACATAGGATGCCTCTCCCTCAGGCACCAAATCGAGACATGCTGCACTTTGAAGTGCTTACGATAAACACACCCGCAAACACACCCTCAACACTCAACCCACAAACCCCTGAGAAACCAAGAGCCAGAGAGGTTATACCTGTTATAATTATACCATGCCGGCAACCATGCAAGCCGAAAGTGCATTTGTATGCATTCGACTGTCTGTGTGCATTTATCTCGTTTCGACTTGTTACAGCAGCAACCGTGGTTCAAAAGCCGATGTTTATGTCGATAGGTTGGCTACGAAAGATCTTTGCATATCGATTTTTGAATAAAAGTCAGAATAAAATATTAGAATAATGCACATTTAGAACACAGAAAACAGCACGTCGCCAGAGGGAAAGTATTCAATGTTTTTATGCAACTTTAGCTTTAACTTCACTGAATATCTAGACTGCAAACCAATAAAACACATTAATTAAATATAAAATATTAATTATATGCTGCACGAAAGCCAAAGCCAGGCTCTCTCTCACACTGCCTGATTTTCGCAAAAGGGTTATATAGCTGGTCTTTTCCAGCCTAGCTTAAGTCAAGTCTAGCATGCAAACTGTAAATATATGACAGATCATATTGAAATGCTACCAAGGCACTAGGGGAATTTCGGATTGCATTCAGTTTCATTCACACACACATATCTTTGTGCACACTGTGCAGTGGTTCAAACAAATACTTGTTTTCAACGCTCGGTAGTGGTACTAGTTGGGTTTTGGGTTTATTTTACTTGGAAACGTGAACCGAGGCGGACGTGTGCGGAGCTACCTCTCTCTCTCTCTCCCCTCGGACAAAACGAAACGAACGAACGCGGGCGCGTAGACGGCAGAATCGCGCTATAAAAATACCACCGAACCCAACAACAAACAACAACCACTAACAACTACGACTACAATACGGCTACGATTCATTCCCCGCCGTGTCCCACCGTGTGTGTTTGCCTTTAGTTTTATGGCGCGCGTCAGGTAGATTTTCGATCATTTTTGTTGTTCCCTCGCGTGTTTAATGGCTAACAAAATCATCCATCCGGCTAAAGAGCTAAAGATTGCTAAACAAAAGCAAGTACAAAGCAGTGTTGTGTAGTGTAGTGTAGCTCCAGATAGTGTCTAGTGCCACATCTCAGGATTACTCATCATTGGCAGGCATCGGAGTAACCAAAGAAGAAGACCCAGAGACGACGACGACGACGACATTTCACTGCGCTTCATGGTGGTTTCTGCGGGTCCCCAGTGTGTTGTCCCAGTGTCCGCCCCAGTGATTTGTCTCGTTCTTTCGCATGCTCGTTGCGGTTACAGCAACTTTACGAAATCACAAACCAGTATCTGAGCCGAGCCAGTGTATCAGTGTAAGATACAAACAACAACAACAAAAAAGGCAGCTCCAGAGCACATATTGGAATTTACTTAACACGTATGCGACGCGACGCGACACACACCACTACCACCATCAACAGCAGCACGAAAAACATCTCGAAAACGGAGCCCACCGCTTGGTCTATTGGATTTTCGACACGAAACGACTCTCACATCTGAGTCCCCCCCCCCACGGGTAGGTACACACAACACAGTCAAGAATTGGTCGACTGGCTGGTCATAGAGTTTTCCCAGGAAATATGAAAAACATACATAGGACTCTCTGGCTATCAGGCACACACTTGTTCGTTCAGCTGCGTTTTTCCACCCTCGCCGCTTGGCTAATGAAGCTGACCTGCCCTCGCCGCGGCCAGCTACCTGTTTGGATTGACCCGCAGCGCGGCAGTGCAGCGCTCGCTCGGTTTTCCCATTAGCCGATAGAAGAGATCTTTTGCCCTCCCTCTCTACCACCATCACCACCATCACATATCGAAAGCTATTTATAAATGCTGCCCCTGTCCACGGAGTCACGGCTTACGCGCTGCGCTGCCCTGCCCTGCCCTGCTGTGCGTTTGGGGCCCAGGCTGAAGCCCCCAGAGCCGGTTTTTGGCCTGTCTCTCTGGATGTCTCACTGTCTGTCTGGCGGGGCCAGCATCAATTCAATTTCTACTGGCTGAGTGAGTTTTTACTCGTATATTGTAGCTGCGATGAAGAATCTCCATCTCCATCTCCAGCCACAGCTCTCCCGAGTCTCTTCTTCCTCTTGGCCGCCGGTCGTCTCTTCTCCTCCTCCTCCTCTTCATCCTCCTCTTCCTCTTCAGTACGAGTATCTCAAGCTGGTTTTGTGCTGTTTTCTTTTCTCTGGCTTTGTTTTCTTTCGTTTCGTTTTCGTTTTTTTACCATTTGGTGATCATGTTGCTTCTGCTTTTGGCTCTGCTGCCGACTGCTGCTGCCTGATGATGATTCTGTGGCTTATTGCCGCCAAGATTATTGCCGATTTTTTCATGTTTTTTGCTGGCTGACTGGCTGGCTAGCTGGCTTCCCCCGTCCAAGAAGGTGCATGGCCTTATTTACCCACTTTCCGAATCGCTCACCGATTTGTGCCCGTTTTTTTTTTCTTTTTTTTTGCTGTTTTGTGAGCTGCTTGCTGCTGAATCATACTCTGGTATCGTTTGAATACTTTAGTCAGGCACTGAATCGGGTTTCGGGAGGCACACCCATAGCATTGACTCAACCTCAAACAATGCGGCACAGTGGAGCATTGTTGTGGAGCAGCCAGGGACACGGACAGCCAACCCTTTTGGCCACAGAGTCGCCACACCAACAGTCCAGCTGAAAATCAAAATGCAAAACTTGTTGCTAATAAACAACAATTACAGCGACACACACAAACAAGTTCAGCTAACCACAAAAATGCTCACAAGTCGTTGCCCAGGAGCACACAAACACACACAACACGGCACCCAGGCAGGCCCCAAAGGCAGAGTAAGAGCCAGAGTCAGAGTCAGGAATACTCGTACTCGTACTCGTAGCTGGCCCCTGTCACATTGGCGGCCAGCAGCAATTTTATGTTTTTTTTTGTTTCAGTATTTTTTTTTTTGTTGGTCTTCCTCTGAAGTGAGTGCCATGTGAGAAGACCAGAAAAAAGCAGCCCAGTTGGCCAGCTGCGTCCGCTCACCACACATATCTAGAGCCAAAGTGTGGCTGTGGCTGTGGCTGCCGAAGTGGCCATAACTGTGTCAGTGTGCAACTGGAAGAGGTCTAAGCCTATTAAGCTCAGCGCTTGGCTTAAGATCGCTTGGCCTGGTCAGCAGCGTGAGAGCGGCAGAGAGGGAGGCGCATATCAAGCAAGAAGCAAGCTAGATTCTCGAACGCCTCAATGTTGAGGGCGATTAAGTCTAATTAGTGGCGACAGGCGTCACAGAATTGGCGCAAGCTCAAAGAGATTTCCGTTCAGTCACAAGGGGTGCAGAGCACCCAGGGGGAAGGGGACTGCCTAATTAAAGGAGCTGCCAATTAAGAGTTATGACAGCAGCGGGGCCACTTTCGCTAGAGATGTTCCGAGAGAGAGAGAGGGAGGGAGAGAATCTTTTTATGAACTCGCTAAACTTTATTGTTGTGTGTTGGTTTGTTCTTGTTGTTGTTGTTGCATGTTGAACGCTTGCATATCGTTTGCCCCACACCCAGTACCAGCACCAGCACCAGCACCAGCACCCAGCATTGTGTCAGAGGTCAGGTCTAAACCTCCTCCTGGCTGCGTCTCACGCAGCGTGCGACCTTGCGCCTGAATTCGGCATGATCCTCGCGATACTCTTTGGCTGCATCGACATTGGCCGCCGACTCGCTATTCGGATCGGTCAGCATCGAAATGACCGACAGGAGAATGGTCTCCACGGTGTGCACTGGCAGCCAGCGCTCCTCGGCCTTCTCGTAGCCCCACTTATCGTCGCCCGGCTCGTGCAGAATGGAGATGCACACGTCGCCGGACTTGTCGATATTCGGATGCCAGATCTCGGTGACGAACTTCATGCGCGGCGGTCGCAGCGGATACTCCTTGGGAAAGATGAGGTGGGCCTTGAAGCAGCCACCCTCGTACAGTGTGTCCGGTGGGCCAATGATCACCACCTCCCACTTGAAGATGTCCGCATCGTTGATCAGTCCGGCGGAGAAGCCCTCAACGGGATTGCGATGCAGCTCTGTCAGCTGACGCCTCAGCAGTAGGGATGCTTGCTGTTCAGACATGCTACTTTATTACTAGACTGAGAAGGGACATGGACATGGACTTGGGGCACAGCCGGTAACAGATATTCGAATTCTACTTACTGGAATTTTGTTTGTTTCGAGTTAACTATTTTTGTGTATTTTTTTTTTCGTTTTTTCGCTGGAACTATGCCGAATGCTACAGACAACAGATACTGCCAGGGTTGCCCTGTTTGCTTTTCCAGCTATCAAATATTGTTGTGACAGATTTTAGCTAGAGTTTCGTAATTTTTATACCCGGGGGTGGGGGGGGGGGGGCCCGGGGGGCGGGGGCGGGGGGGGGCCCCCCCCCCGGGGGGGGGGCCGCCGGCCCCCCACCACGCCCCCCGCCGGGGGGGGGACCCGGGGGGACACGGGGGGGGGGCCCGCCACGCCGTATTTATTTTAGATTTAGAAGTTTAATTCTGAAGTTTAAGGTAATTTGGACAGACTGCGAAGTAGCCGTTGGAGTTTTTCGAAAGAAAGGAAAGGAAAGCTCCAATTTGTGGCCTGTGGAATGGTGCCAAGGAAAGTTCTTTTCTTTTTTTCTTTGCTGTCTCAGGCCTTCCTTTTCCTTGCTTGCAATTACTTTGCTTGCTACTGATTTTCCTTCCTTTTTGTTGTGGCCTTTTTTGCTGGCTGAATGCTGAATGGAAATTATGATGGCTGCCACATTGTTGCCATTGCATTGCTCTTGGCTTTCGTTTCGTAATTGCGCATAGTTTTCTGCTGGCCTCCTGCAACTGCAACTGCAACTTCGACCACGACATGTGGCTGCCCCCCCCCCCGCTCCCCATTCATCCATTGCTATCCTCTGTGGCTGTTTTTTTTTTTTCTTTTTTGCCAATTGCATTTTTGAATTGCTGGCATTTCAAAATCACCCCAGGGGCGAGATTTGACTATCGCTGGGGCCCAGAAATTATGCTGCCGCAAATGTGTGAATTGTTAATGTCTCTTTGCCAGCTTGCCCGCTGGCCAACGTGGGGTATCTGGAGGGAGTTACCAGTACCAGTACGAGTACTACCAGTATTTGTGTGGCTGTGACTTTTCATGGGGCTGCCGTTTGGCGTTTCGGCATTGCCGGTTTTTCAAGTTTTTCCATGCAGCCAGCGCGGCGCAGCGCAGCGCGTTTTCACAAATTCCAGTCCAGCAGAGTTTTGAGTTTGAGTGGTAATATTTAGCTGGCAGTCCACAGTCCACAGACTGGCACATGTGTACGAGGCTGCTACCAAAAACAGTGAGCGAGAGGGAGACAGGGAGAGAGAGATTCGAAATTTTTGCTAAATTATCAGGCACATGGCCAGGAGAATGCATCTCGTGTCTCGTGTCTCTGGAGAAACACGTTTGCCAGCGCACATAAGACTGACAGCTGCTGCTCTTCTGGTTCTGCTGCCGCACAACAAATGCCCATTTAAGTGCCACATGTCGGAGTCGCACTGGGGAAAGCGATATGCGATATGGGATATGTATGATGCCATCGCGAGCGTAGTCACACGTGCCAGTGCCATCATGCCAGGGGCCCATCTAGCAGGCGAAACTCGTATTTCCATTTGCCGGGGAAAAGTGTCGCGCGCCTCGTTCAAAGTGATAAAGTGGCATTGACTCTACGCGGCGGCGTTTCAACTCAACTCAACTCAACTCATTTCGTTTCGTTTCGTTTTTGTCGAATTGATTTCCAATATTCATTAAGGCAAACGCCCGCCCACACCCGACAACGCCCACTCGCTTGGGTCGTTGCCATGGCATCGCTCTAATTGAAGGGAGGGGGAACGGGGAAGCAGCGGTTGCACGTTCGTTTTCATTTATTCTTTTTCTTTTATTTGTGTGTGTGTGTGTTGTTTTTTTTCGGGTGGGCGTGCCCCTGTATGCGACAATTGCACTTCCGGCAACACGCGAACTTGCAACGATCCACCAGCATGCCATACCAGCACTTACTCTGTGCTCTATGCTCTATTCTGTCTTTTTTTTGTTGGGTTTTGCTCTGGAGAGCAGGTGGCTGGCTGGGCGCTGGACCGTACTGTGTGCGTGCCTCAAATTGCTGGCTCATGTTGCGTCGTTCATCCAAACAGCTGACGGGCGTCGATCAATTGAAATTGCTTTTCATCTGCCATCGAGGGGAGGGGCTCGCTATCCCCTATAGGTAGGTGTGTGCCTCATCATCATCGATCCCGTACTGCGGTTAGTTCTTGTCTTTAGTTCTTGATGACTTCCTGCACCTAATGACCGAGCAACTGTGCAACTGTGCATCTGTGGCACTCTGCCGCTGCAACCTGCTGATAAATCACCTCTCAGCAGGCCATCGGGCATACTCGTATATAAAAATAGTTTCTATTGTGAGCTGCATTTCTCAGCCAGTCTCTAATAAAATAGTTGCCCCAGGGCGCCTCTCTCTTTCTCTCTCTGTCTCTCCCTGTGCACTTCTCATAAATTCAAGTTAAGTGAGTGACCAACAGGATTTCAGTTCTTTATTGGCGCTTTGAGTTATGCATTCCCATTCCCATTCCCATATACTCCTCGTACACTTGTGCTCCGGACATAATTTCCAATTGCATGCAGAAAAATGGGAAAAAAATTTTCTGTGCACAGAGTTGGCCATTACCTCTGTGCCCCTCCCCCCCATACCCTGGGGAGAGTGTGGAGCGTGCAGAACAAAACAATGCTAAAGAGAGAACTCAATAAATTGCAGAAAAGCGAAAAGTGGAAAGAACGCAAAATAAACAGACTTAAAACGAAGAAAATATACAAAAAAAAAAAAAACAAGCCAGCCAGCAAGCAGCTTTCCACTTGCAGTTTTAATGTGTTTTGTGCGTTGCTCCTCGCTTTATAATTGAGTTGCCAGTTGGAGCCGAAGTTGCAGCAGCAGCAGCAGCACTCACAGTGCCAGAACTAGTGGCAGAAGTGGGCAGGCTGGTGGGGGAACACACATAGACGACCGAGTGGGAGTTGCAATTGAGAGTTGGGCGCACATTGCTGCTGCGTCCGTGCGCCCGTGTGCACTGAATGCGAAAAAGTTCCCGAGCTCTGCACAGTTTTCGACTGAAACGCGATGTTCTTATACATATTTCCTTTAGTGTTATTATTATTCTCATAATATTCAGGGGACCGGGCACGGGACCCACCTTTGTGCAATGCATTCAAATGGAAATGGCAGACTGGCAGACTGCCAGACTGGCGCTTGGGGATATGCTGGTGCATTGGTGCAGCCGCAAGACAAAAGCCTTCCTCGATGTGGTCCGTAATGAGCGCTTCCGTCAAAAGCATGCGGCACTCACAGGAGACGCAAGACACAACACAAGACACACTCTTGGCCCAAAACGGGAACACATTTAAAAGCGCATTTTCCTTCTACTATCACAACTATTCCCCGTACGTATACAATTTTTGGAGGGCTTTAATGCCGTTTCGGGCCCCCCCATAATCACTCAATTTGTTGCTTCATTAACGTTGCGGGGTTTTCCTCCTATTCGTTGTGTAATTTGCCCAAGAAACTCTTAGTTTTGTCTGGCCAGAGCGGACCCCGGCCATGTGTGAAGTGTAAGGCGTTATGCGTACAATATTTCATAACTCCAAAGTCTGGCAAACAAATGAGCAAAAGTGTGCTACCAAGCCACCTTCCCCCCTTACGCTTTCCAGCCACCAAATGAGCCGTTAGACAACGCTGATGGGCCGCTCAGAGTTCATTTACTCCGTCGCGGCGGCGCTGCTCTTTTACCAAGAAAATTCTGTGAAAAGCAGAAACCAGAAGGAACGAGAAGGAAAAAAGGAGTCGCTTCACGCGACTATTTCCGTACTCAGTCAGTATATACATTTTTGCTTATGATTTTTTTTTTTTTACATATTAATTTTTTTGCTCATATGTATTTACATCTCATATACAATGTATATTTTCACTAACATGTAGATTTTACATGTTCATTAATTTTTTCCTCCGTTGCTCGCGCACTGAACGCGGCAGAATGTGCGAGCGAGAAGGAAAATGGGTGCGTTTGTTGGGGGAGAGGAGAAGCCAAGCTTGGCCGAAAATTAATTTCTTCATTCGGTATAATTATGATCCGACAGCAGGTTTGCCTTGCGAAAAGCGCATTTTCTACATCTGTTTCTTTATTATTTTTTTGTAGTTGCCTTCCACGATTTTTTGTAGCTTTTTTGGGCGGAAGAGGCGGCTTTTGAATACTATAGCGTGTTTTATGTCTTGACGAAATTTGGTTACCCTAGCTCTTTGGTCTCTCAGATCCAGGCGCTACAGACGGACGGACGGACGGACGGACGGACGGACGGACAGACAGACATGGCTATAACGACCGGCTATTGATGCTTCAAGAATTATATACTTTATGGGGGGCTGGCCTGGCTGGCACACATCCACTTTTACTCAAAATAATATACCCCTAACTTTTGGGGGTATCAAGCCAGCCAGCAAGCAGCTTTCCACTTGTGAGTTTTAATGTGTTTTGGCGTTGCTCCTCGCTTTATAATTTTAGTTGTTGCATGGGGGCAGCAGGGCTCACAGTGCCAGAACTAGTGGGGGGGGGTGGGGGAACACCGAACGAGTGGGTTTTGATTTGATGAGTTGGGCGCACATAGCTGCTGCCCGTGTGCACTGAATGCGAATAGTTCCCAGCGAAAGTTTCTGAAACGCGATATTCTTATACATATTTCCTTTAGTGTTATTATTATTCTCATAATATAGGGGACCGGGCACGGCACCTGGAAATTCAAATGGAAAGGAGACGGCTGCAGACTGGCGCTTGGGGATATGCTGGTGATTGGTGCAGCCGCAAGACAAAGCCTTCCTCGATGTGGTCCGTAATGAGCGCTTCCGTCAAAAGCATGCGGCATTAGAGGAGACGCAAGATTCAAGACACACTCTTAGCCCAAAACGGGAAAAATTTATTTAAAGCGCATTTTCCTTCTACTATCACAACTATTCCTCCGTACGTATACAATTTTTGGAGGGCTTTAATGCCGTTTCGGGTCCCCCCATAATCACTCAATTTGTTGCTTCATTAACGTTGCGGGGTTTTCCTCCTATTCGTTGTGTAATTTGCCCAGAAACTCTAGTTTGCTGGCCAGAGGGACCCGGGGGGGGGTTATGCGTACAATATCATAACTCCAAAGTCTGGCAAACAAATGAGCAAAAGTGTGCTACCCCCCCCGCCCCATGAGCCGTTAGACAACGCTGAGGGGCCGCTCA